TGGAAAGAGTTAACAAAAAAACAGAGCCAACTAGAATGTTATTTGGCCCTAAACAGAGAGTACACAGTGGCAGAATACCTGACCACTGTGACTGACCCAAACTTAAGGAAAGCTTTGACTATGTACAGACTCAGTGAGCATAGCCTTGCTATTGAGAAAGGCTGCCGTAGGCAAGAGAAGACAGGCTATGTGCACACTGCCCACAAAATATGGTGAAAACTGAGCTGCACTTCCTAACCTCCTGCCAAATGTATGACCATATTAGAGACACATATTTCCCTCAAAATACACAGATCCACAAAGAATTCGAAAACAAACCCAATTTTGATAAACTCCCTTATCTAGAAAAAGCCATATCTCAGACTGGCCAATAAAAAGAAAATATTAAGATGGGCAGTCTGAGATATGGTTTTTTCTTTGCAACTCTGCCTAGAAGGTCAGCATCCCGGAGTCACCTCTTCACTGTTGACGTTGAGACTGGTGTTTTGCGGGTACTATTTAATGAAGCTGTCAGTTGAGGACCTGTGAGGCGTCTGTTTCTCAAACTAGACACTCTAATGTATTTGTCCTCTTGCTTAGTTGTGCACCGGGGCCTCCCACTCCTCTTTCTATTCTGGTTAGAGCCAGTTTACGCTGTTCTGTGAAGGGAGTAGTACACAGCGTTGTACGAGATCTTCCGTTTCTTGGCAATTTCTCGCATGGAATAGCCTTCATTTCTCAGAACAAGAATAGACTGACGAGTTTCAGAATAAAGTTATTTGTTTCTGGCCATTTTGAGCCTGTAATCGAACCCACAATTGCTGATGCTCCAGATACTCAACTAGTCTCAAGAAGGCCAGTTTTATCGCTTCTTTAATCAGCACAGCAGTTTTCAGCTGTGCTAACATAATTGCAAAAGGGTTTTCTAATGATCAATTAGCCTTTTAAAATGATAAACTTGAATTAGCAAACACAACGTGCCATTGGAACACAGGACTGATGGTTGCTGATAATGGGCCTCTGTAGATACTCCATTAAAAATCAGCCGGGTCACTTAGAAATGGCCTTGTTTTCGAAAGAAAAGCAAGTTTTTTGTCCATTAAAATAACATCAAATTGATCAGAAATACAGTGTAGACTTTGTTAATGTTGTAAATGGCTATTGTAGCTGGAAACCAAACTTTTGAACGGTAGTGTAAGTATTCAGACCCTTTGCTATGAGACTCGGAATTGAGCTCAGGTGCATCCTGTTTCCATTGATCATCCTTGATATGTTTCTACAACTTGATTATAGTCGACCTGTGGTAAATTCAATTGATTGGACATCATTTGGAAAAGCACACACCTGTTTATATAAGGTCCCACAGTTGACAGTGCATGTAAGAGCAGAAACCAAGCCATGAGGTCGAAGGAATTGTCCGTAGAGCTCCGAGACAGGATTGTGTCGAGGCACAGATCTGGGGAAGGGTACCAAAAAATATCTGCAGCATTGAAGGTCCCCAAGAACACAGTGGCCTCCATCATTCTTAAATGGAAGAAGTTTGGAACCACCAACACTCTTCCTATAGCTGGCCGCCCGGCCAAACTGAACAATCTGGGGAGAAGGGCCTTGTTCAGGAAGGTGACCAAGAACCTGATAGTCACTCTGACAGAGCTCCAGAGTTCCTCTGTGGAGATGGGAGAACCTTCCAGAAGGACAACAATCTCTGCAGCACTCCACCAATCAGGCCTTTATGGTAGAGTGGCCAGATGGAAGCCACTCCTCAGTAAAAGGCACATGACAGCCCGCTTGGAGTTTGCCAAAAGGCACCTAAAGACTCTCAGACCATGAGAAACAAGGTTCTCTGGTCTGATGAAACCAAGACTGAACTCTTTGGCCTGAATGCCAAGCGTCACGTCTGGAGGAAACCTGGCACCATCCCTACGGTGAAGTGTGGTGGTGGCAGAATCATGCTGTGGGGATGTTTTTCAGCGGCATTGACTTGGAGACTAGTCAGGATCGAGGGAAAGATGAACGGAACAAAGTACAGAGAGATACTTGATGAAAACCTGCTCCAGAGTGCTTAGAACCTCAGACTGGGGGCGAAGGTTCACCTTCCCACAGGACAACGACCCTAAGCACAGCCAAAACAATGCAGGAGTGGGTTCGGGACAAGTCCCTGAATGTCCTTGCTTGGCCCAGCCAGAGCCCGGACTCCGATCGAATATCTCTGGAGAGACCTGAAAATAGCTGTGCAGCAACGCTCCCCATCCATCCTGATAGAGCTTGAGAGGATCTGCAGAGAAGAATGGGACTAACTCCCCAAATACAAGTGTGCCAAGCTTGTGGTGTCATACCCAAGAAGACTCGAGGCTGTAATCGCTGCCAAAGGTGCTTCAACAAAGTACTGAGTAGAGGGTCTGAATACTTATGTAAATGTAATATTTCTGTAATAAATTAGCAACAATTTCTAAAAACCGTTTTTTGCTTTGTCATTATGGGGTTTTGTTTGTAGGTTGTTGATGGGAAAAAATTGTTTTATCAATTTTAGAGTAAGCCTGTAACCTAACAAAATGTGGAAAAAGTCAAGGGGTCTGAATACTTTCCGAAGGCATTGTATATCAACGAATTGGAGAGGGCACTAGAACAGTCTGCAGCACCCGGCCTCACCCTACTAGAATCTTAAGTAAAATGTCTACTGTTTGATGATGATCTGGTGCTTCTGTCACCAACCAAGGAGGGCCTACAGCAGCACCTAGATCTTCTGCACAGATTCTGTCAGACCTGGGCCCTGACAGTAAATCTCAGTAAGACAAAAATAATGGTCTTCCAAAAAAGATCCAGTTGCCTGGACCACAAATACAAATTCCATCTAGACACCATTGCCCTAGAGCACACAAAAAAATATACATACCTCGGCCTAAACATCAGCGCCACAGGTAACTTCCACAAAGCTGTGAACGATCTGAGAGGCAAAGCAAGAAGGGCCTTCTACGCCATCAAAAGGAACATAACATTCGACATATCAATTAGATCTGGCCAATAATACTTGAATCAGTTATAGAACCCATTGCCCTTTATGGTTGTAAGGTCTGGGATCCGCTCACCAACCAAGAATTCACAAAATGGGACAAACACCAAATTGAGACTGCAAAAACATCCCCTGTGTACAACGTAAAACACCAAATAATGCATGCAGAGCAGAATTAGGCCGTTACCCGCTAATTATCAAAATCCAGAAAAAAGCAGTTAAATTCTATAACCACTTAAATGGAAGCGATTCCCAAACCTTCCATAACAAAGCCATCACCTACAGAGAGATGAACCTGGAGAAGAGTCCCCTAAGCAAGCTGGTCCTGGAGCTCTGTTCACAAACAGACCCCACAGAGCCCCAGGACAACAACACATTTAGACCCAACCAAACTATGAGAAAACAAAACGATAACTAGAATGCTATTTGGCCATAAACAGAGAGTACACAGTGGCAGAATACCTGACCACTGTGACTGACCCAAACTTAAGGAAAGCTTTGACTATGTACAGACTCAGTGAGCATAGCCTTGCTATTGAGAAAGGCCGCCGTAGGCAGACCTGGCTCTCAAGAGAAGACAGGCTATGTGCACACTGCCCACAAAATGAGGTGGAAACTGAGCTGCACTTCCTAAACTCCTGCCAAATGTATGACCGTATTAGAAACACATATTTCCCTCAGATTACACAGATCCACAAAGAATTCGAAAACAAACCCAATTTTGATAAACTCCCATATCTATTGGGTGAAAAACCACAGTGTGCCATCACAGCAGCAAGATTTGTGACCTGTTGCCACAAGAAAAGGGCAACCAGTGAAGAACAAACACCATTGAAATACAAACCATATTAACGTTTATTTATTTTCCCTTTTGTACTTTAACTAGTTGCACATAATATGACATTTGAAATGTCTTTATTCTTTTGGAACTTTTGAGTGTAATGTTTACTGTTAATTGTATTGTTTATTTCACTTTTGTTTATTATCTACTTCACTTGCTTTGGCAATGTAACATGCGTTTCCCATGCCAATAAAGCCCTTAAATTGGATTGAAATTGAATTGAGTGAGAGAGATAGAGTGGGTATGTGAGAGAGAGAGAGAGAGAGAGAGAGGAAGAGAGAGAGAGAGAGAGAGAGAGAGAGAGAGAGAGAGAGAGAGAGAGAGAGAGATAGAGAGAGAGAGAAGGAGAGAGAGAGAGGAGAGAGAGAGAGAGAGAGAGAGAGAGAGAAAAGAGAGAGGAGAGAGAGAGAGAGAGAGAGAGGATATGTGAGAGACAGAACACCAAACAGGTGGTAGTGTTTGAGTGATGGGAGTCTGGCCTTGTAGACTTGCAGCTATAAAATATCTGATGTGTGTAAAGGAAGTCATGTCTAAACGGGGGAGAATCCCAGACTCCTTCTGAAATCACTGCTCTGTGTTCCACATTTCCTGTCTCTCTCTCTCTCACACACACACACACACGCAAGGACACACACACACACTTGCGTCTGTCCGATGACAGGTCCCTGTCCTCTCCCCAAAGGCCCTTCCTGAGAACACAGCAGCCTGGTCCGTCTGACAAAGCTCAGCCTTGCTACCTTAACGACCAGAGGCTAGAGCCTGAGGCCCGAGCCGTGATGGATCACAGCAATACCTTTGCTATTTTCTATTTCAAGGCTGAATGAAACACAAGATTCATCACAATCCAATGTCAAACAAAATCCTATTTCCAGACGAGGATTTCCTAACATTTAGATGTGTTGCAGAGCTTGTTAGAAGTGGAGGGTGGGATTTACTGTAAGGCAACGTCACTGTTATCTTCCGTTAGCCTAATGATCATATTCACTGCAGTACTGAGTCTAACACCTAATATTGACCCCTAGACAGCAACAGACCTTGGGACTGTTAGACATAGGGTGGCGGGTTGTGGACATACACACACTGGCAAATTAGTGTCAAGGTCCTTCCTTAGTCTGGGAGGTATGAGATATGACCACACACACACATACACACGCACAGACACAAGTTACTATGGAAACTACAGTTTGTGCACTGATATACTTTGAGAAGAAATCCCAAGTTCTGGCTGAAATTTACCATGAGCTGTCTGAAATCTACCATGAGCTGGCTGAAATCTACCATGATCTGGCTGAAATCTACCATGTTCTGGCTGAAATCTACCATGATCTGGCTGAAATCTACCAAGTTCAGGCTGAAATCTACCAAGTTCAGGCTGAAATCTACCATGATTTCTGAAAAGTGCAGTATAATGATATTCTGTTACCTATGTGAGGTAGTCTGCCGGTCTCAGACCCTTTATGTGAATCCCAGACTCCAGATGCCCCTGTTCTGGTGGACTGACTGGGAAGGGAACAGGACAGACGTAATTACGTTAGTTGTAGCGTCGCTCTGCCTGTTGGTGATGTTTTCTAAAGGCTATTCCATCTTCCATCCTCCCCTAACCCCCCTTGTACACACGCATTCACTTAGCCAAGCACATCTGTGGATGGTCCTCATAGTGTTCTAATGTAACCAATGGAAACGGCATTAGCTAGTCCTCCGTCATTTGTTTGGTTGCCTTATCACCGATGTTCCAGAATTGGAATGCTGCCTGACCCTATTTGGCGGAGTGATGAATGTCTCCTTTCAGTGGTCGTTGCACAACATCTGTGTGTGTGTGTGTGTGTGTGTGTGTGTGTGTGTGTGTGTGTGTGTGTGTGTGTGTGTGTGTGTGTGTGTGTGTGTGTGTGTGTGTGTGTGTGTGTGTGTGTGTGTGTGTGTGTGTCTGTGTGTGTGTGTGTGTGTGCGTGCGTCTTACACACGATTCGCCCGTATGCATTTTCAATTGTAGGTTTTTTTAGTAGCCATTTTTGAAATGTATTTATGTAACGCTGCTTTTGACCCCACCATGGTATGTATTTTATTCCATTTAGGCAAAATACATTTTCTTTAAAATATATCTGGAATCCATTGATCTTTCAATAAGCTTCATGTATTTTTATGTCCCCGACCAGTAGTGTAATGGTTACGGGTATTTCTCTCCCCCCCCCCCCTTGAAAATAGAGGACAAAATGGTGGCCATGTGTTTGATTTATTTAACCTTTATTTAGTCCCATTGAGACCAACGTCTCTTTTTCAAGGGAGCCCTGAATGACAAGACCAGCAGGCTTCCAAGTCTGGTCCCAGATCTGTTTGTGCTGCCTTGCTAGATCCTATGGTCATTGTTAGGCCAATTGGAAAAAACAGATCTGAGACCAGGCTGTATGCCTCCCACAGATGTCACAGATGTGTATCGGTCCAAATAAAGGCCTGCAGGTGTTGTGGTCCGTATCAGGGGTGTGTTGATTGTTTTTACATCGGGGGTCACTGCCTGAACAACAGCAGGAGGAGGAACTGAACTGAAATGAATAAGACCTGTGTTTGGTCACTGGACGCGGGTATATATAGCCCTGGCTTCCTGGTCTGTCTGGGGCAGAAGGGGGAGGGAGGAGGTTGGGGTGTGGGGGGTGAGAGGTAGGAGTGGGGAGAGGGAGAGAAGGGTTGAAGAGGTTCATTTCAGGGCCAAGTTTGAGAGGGTTGAGCGAGATGATTGCCCGCAGATGGTAGTAGTTAAATGGTGTGTGTGAGAGTGTGAGAGAGAGAGAGAGAGAGAGAGCGAGAGAGAGAGAGAGAGAGAGAGAGAGAGAGAGAGACATGTGTGTGTGTGCGTACGTGCAGTGTGTGTACGTGTGTGTGTGTGTGTGTGTGTGTGTGTGTGTGCGTGCGTGCAGTGCGTGTGGTGTGTGTGTGTGTGTGTGTGTGTGTGTGTGTGTTCAGTGCATGCGGTGTGTGTGTGTGTACGTGTGTGTGTGTGCAGTGTGTGTGCGTGCAGTGCGTGCGGTGTATGTGTGTGTACGTGTGTGTGTGTGCAGTGTGTGTGCGTGCAGTGCATGCTATGTGTGTGTGTGTGTGTGTATTGTTCCGTCAGTAAGGTAGTGGGTCACCCTCTCTCTCACACTCTCTCTCACACTCTCTCTCACACTCTCTCTCACACCTCTCTCTCAACCTCTCTCTCAACCTCTCTCTCAACCTCTCTCTCACCCTCTCTCTCACCCTCTCTCTCACCCTCTCTCTCACCCTCTCTCTCACCCTCTCTCTCACCCTCTCTCTCAACCTCTCTCTCACCCTCTCTCTCAACCTATCTCTCACCCTCTCTCTCACCTCTGTGTCTGACTCTGGCTTTGGTTCATCCTCAGAGAGACAGACAGATGTATTGTTTATTGTCTTTGGTTACAGCCAAAAAGAGGACATTAGGAATGATCATTTCCTCTCCTTTGTATGTGTGCTGTGTGAGGGCGAAGGAGGAAGAGAGAGGGCGATAGACCGAAAGAGTGATGGAGACCTTTATGTCCTTACCTTAAACCTTAACTTTTAACCCTGTCCTAAACCTTAGATTTTAACCCTATCCTAAACCTTAGATTTTTAACCCTGTTCTAAACCTTAACTTTTAACCCTGTTCTAAACCTTAACTCCTAACCTAAGAAACCAACCACCCTGACAATTCTCTCTAACAAACAGCATATTTTCCACAGCCTGAACCTCCTAGTCCAAGACTCTGTGAAATCATGTCAACTATCATCGGGACTCAAGGTGTTTCCAAACTGCTGACACACAGAAAAGTGCAGGAGGAAGACTTCCCAAAAGAAAGAAGAAGAAAAAGCTAGGAACACCAACAGGAAAACAGCTAGGAACACCAACAGGAAAACAGCTAGGAACACCAACAGGAAAAACAGCTAGGAACACCAACAGGAAAACAGCTAGGAACACCAACAGGAAAAACAGCTAGGAACACCAACAGGAAAAACAGCTAGGAACACCAACAGGAAAACAGCTAGGAACACCAACAGGAAAACAGCTAGGAACACCAACAGGAAAAACAGCTAGGAACACCAACAGGAAAAACAGCTAGGAACACCAACAGGAAAACAGCTAGGAACACCAACAGGAAAACAGCTAGGAACACCAACAGGAAAAACAGCTAGGAACACCAACAGGAAAACAGCTAGGAACACCAACAGGAAAAACAGCTAGGAACACCAACAGGAAAACAGCTAAGAACACCAACAGGAAAACAGCTAGGAACACCAACAAAAACGCTAGGAACACCAACAGAAAACAGCTAGGAACACCAACAGGAAAACAGCTAGGAACACAACAAAACACTAGGAAAACCACAGGAAACCTAGGACACCAACAGGAAACAGCTAGGAACACCAACAGGAAAAACAGCTAGAACACCAACAGGAAAACAGCTAGGAACACCAACAGGAAAACAGCTAGGAACACCAACAGAAACACTAGGAACACCAACAGGAAAACAGCTAGGAACACCAACAGGAAAACAGTAGGAACACCAACATGAAAAACAGCTAGGAACACCAACAGGAAAACAGCTAGGAACACCAACAGAAACAGCTAGGACACCAACAGGAAAACAGCTAGGAACACCAACAGGAAAACACTAGGAACACCAACAGGAAACAGCTAGGAACACCAAGGAAAAACGCTAGGAACACCAACAGGAAAAACAGCTAGGAACACCAACAGGAAAACAGCTAGGAACACCAACAGGAAAACAGCTAGGAACACCAACAGGAAAACAGCTAGGAACACCAACAGGAAAAACAGATAGGAACACCAACAGGAAAAACAGCTAGGAACACCAACAGGAAAACAGCTAGGAACACCAACAGGAAAAACAGCTAGGAACACCAACAGGAAAACCAGCTAGGAACACCAACAGGAAAACAGCTAGGAACACCAACAGGAAAAACAGATAGGAACACCCAACAGAAAAACAGCTAGGAACACCAACAGGAAAACAGCTAGGAACACCAACAGAAAAACAGCTAGGAACACCAACAGGAAAACAGCTAGGAACACCAACAGGAAAACAGCTAGGAACACCAACAGAAAACAGCTAGGAACACCAACAGGAAAACAGCTAGGAACACCAACAGGAAAACAGCTAGGAACACCAACAGAAAAACAGCTAGGAACACCAACAGGAAAACAGCTAGGAACACCACAGAAAACAGCTAGGAACACCAACAGGAAAACAGCTAGGAACACCAACAGGAAAAACAGCTAGGAACACCAACAGGAAAACAGCTAGGAACACCAACAGGAAAAACAGCTAGGAACACCAACAGGAAAACAGCTAGGAACACCAACAGGAAAACAGGGAGAGTGTAACCAGATTCAGCTCCTTCAGTCTCCCTCCAGAAACTGCAGCGCTGGTGAAGAGGACGTGTGTGTGTGTGCAGACAATTTATTACAAGGTCATTGATTTACTTCCAGGTAGTCACAGTTATATACTCAATAATTAGTCGTTGTAATGTTCTGTTTTGCAGGCTTATTTCATAAAGTAATTACCTTATATTTACTTTACAAAATGATCTGTGAACGAGGTGTACTTTTAGGTCCTTACTTGAAAGAACATATTACCATTTCTTAGTACCTCATAACTACCCTGTAATTTTGCAGTTGAGGGTAGGGTACACTTTCAACCACATTGCATTTTCTCAGAAAGAAAAACTTGAACCTCACCCTCAAGGCTGTGGTTATAGATCCACGCCCCAACCGAACATTTACTACAAAGCGTTTCCTGCAAAACAAAGTGGTTTTGCTCTGAAAAACATTTGTCGTCTAATCTTGAACACTAAGAACACTGCGCCTACCTCTAAATCAGATTGGAGACCAAGATTATGCGAGTTGCTAGGTAGATGTATGTAACGGTAACTTGAATGAACCTATCAGTGCTATCTGTTGGTTTTCAAACTTCAAGGGTGATTTGAGGTCACAACTGTCAACCCCCCCCCCCCCCCCCCCCCCCCCCACATACTGTGCAAATGTGGTTTCCTCGTTTCCTCTTGGCATATTTTCTTTTTATGAAAACGGAAAAAGAGCTGTAAAGACATGTTTTCAAAATCTCATTCAAATCTCATTCAAATCTCATTCAAATCTCATTCAAATCTCATTTAAATCTCTTTTTTAATCTTGCACAAACATTTCTTTGGAAACAGATATTCTTAGAGCCTCCAAATCAATATGGATGTGTTTTGTTCCTCCATAGGCAGTGGTTTGAGCGAGCGTTCATGCCTCGAGCACTCCTCATCTGTTAATTGTGTGCATGTGATAGTCAGGGGGGGCACTAAGTCGAAGACACTGTCACATTGTTAGCTCAGCTCCCCCTCTTGAATTATTTCTGTTTTCAGCGCTGAATGGGAAATATTTTCAATAACTCATGAATTCTCTAATAATTCTGCTGTTCAGCCAGCGGGTGATACAATATCTCTGCTAACGAGGAGTCATATTCACATAATGTTGTTGACGGTTTGACCGCTGGGCTTCGGGTTCACCTTTTCGTTTGTTGAATTGTGGTCTGCTTGGGAATAATACCAAAACTCCTCACCACATAAAATACATGAAATGAATCTGTTGTTGGGTTCGACCGTTTGGAACGTCTCTTAAAGCTTAGTCTGTCTGTCTGCTAATAATACCAAAACTCCTCACCACATAAATACAAGGTTTGTTGAATGATGAGTTTTGTACACCCTGTTGACTGTTGACGACAGTTGGGTTCACCTAATCGTGGTGTCACACCCTTTCCTGTAGCTTCTGAACGTCTCCTAAGTCCTCAATATGAACTGCGACATTGTGTGTGACTGTCTGTCTGAAAGTGACTTAGAAACCCCTCACCACACTAGCAGTATGATAGTGTGGTGTGACCTGCACACTATTTGTGCCATGCCACCTCCACCTGTGATTCTCCCATCAGAGTGCTTTGACACCACATGACATCTCATAAACAATGTCCGTCCGTCCGTCCCCCCCCCGACTTCTGAATTACCGCTGACAGCCAGGGGCCCTGCTCTCCTCTCTGCTCCCATGTCTCCCTCTGATCTCCCTCTCTTCTCTCTCTTCTCTCTCTTCTCTCTCTCCGTCAGAATCCCCCCAGCAGCTGGACTAACCATCAGTAACCAAGGGAGATCACACAGAGGCACACACTCACACAGGCGGTCACACACACACACGCACACACACACACACACACACACACACACACACACACACACACACACACACACACAGACACACACACACACACACAGACACATCCAGCAGCACACCCTAGTCCCGCTCATTAAAGCAAATTATATCAGCCCACCAAAGCTGGCTTGCTCTCTCTCTCTCTCTCTCTCTCTTTGTCTCTTTCTTTCAAACTATTAATTTTTCTCTCCGAAACACTCGTTATTTTTACTTCATAGAATTCGTCTTCTAATTCGAGCCCCACACTGCCGGCACCGATCCTCGTAGTTATAACACCATATATTATTATTATTATAATATTATAATATTATTATTGTTATTATTATTATTATTATTATTATTATAATATTATAATATTATTATTATTATTATTATTATTATTATTATTATTCCACACAGTGGTTACAAAGGACATGTTCCAGCCACTATATTTGTTAAGGAGCATCAACAACTAAGAGAGAGAAGTCTCGTTCAATGAAATGTGCCCAGTTAGCAACAAGGGGCTTTAGGGAGAGGCAGATCTGGTGAATACGCACACATATAGTTATGCCGAGAAAATAATGGGAGATTTTCGCTACGTTCCACAAACTCTTTGATCCTCCAATGAACGTTTTTTTTTTAGCTTTTGATGCTCGTCCGTGGCTTCCTGAAACAAGCAACAGAGTTTACTGATGGTTCTGCAAGGTTTTTCCTGTTCTTAACAGTGTAATTAGGGTATAATGAGGGTATGGAGAGAGATGTGCCTCTTCTTCTCCTGTAGCTTATTTGCGTATCTTTCCCTGAGCCTGAAAAGGTGGTAACTCACTCACAGCACAGGGTTGGGTTTTCTTGACCAGCGCTGTTGGAAATCAAATCTTCTCTCTCTTATGCCCCAGTTTCCCATTTACTCTACGAGTGTCTCCAAAAAAACGAGTGCTTGGCTTTTTCCTGAGGACCTGTTTTGGATTGAAGACAGTGGCAAGCCAAAAAACTAAAACATAATTCGACACCCCACCATGCAGTTTGGGAAAGGCCCATTCCTGTTCACCTCTCTCTCTCACACAAATGACAAGAAGTCAATTGTTCCAGCACCTAGATTTCACAAAAAGGATAATCCTAGAAATTATTTATGATTTCTAGTCTAGTCACATCACAGGACAAAAAAGACAAACTATTTGTCCTCACTCCCACAGAATGTCAGTGTCTTCCTCCCCACTGAGTTCTCAGACCAGACCTCATCAAAATACGAGTTTGTCGAAGTAACAGAAGCTGTATTCTATTCAATGTCAACATTTCAAAACGTAGATTAAACGTTAACGCTGTGTTGTGTTCCATTGACCCATTCTAAAAGGTCACAAATCAGATAGTCAGCTAATGTTATTTACTCTAATCTTCTTTCTGTTCAGGTTGTCTGTTAGAAATGTCATGTCAAGCCTTCCTATGTCTGCCACGCCACGTCTGATATTTCCCTGGTATTTCCATCTCTCTCTCTCTCTCTATATATATATATATCCTATCTGTTTCTCTTCATCTCTCTCTCTCTCTCTCGCTCTCTCTTTGATAGCCTTTAATGGTTGACATAGGGGAAAGTACCCACTCGGCGCACACTGGTTGAATCAACATTATTTCCACGTCATTTCAATGAAATTACATTGAACCAACGTGGAATAGATGTTGAATTGACGTCTTCCCCCATCTGGATATAAACCACAGCAAAACCGCCCACAGGATATCAACGCGTTATCAGTAGCCTGCCGCATCTGGAGAATTAACTTGAGCGAACTACGGACTACGGACTACGGACTGCGGACTACGGACTGTAAAACCATCTCTTCTTTCTTTATTGAGGATCAAACTATGCCATTGTAAAAGAGAGGGAGAGAAAAGGGGGAGTAAAAAAGGAAAGAAAGCTAGATGATGTTTAATTAGGAACCAAAGTCTCGCTGATGAATAATACAACCCCCAGGATAAGATGGAGATTGCGATCATCTTTTTCATGACGCCTGTATCGGCTTGCACGTCCTTGTGCGAGGAGCGAGGAGGTGGCATTGTTTCACTGTTACTTGGCCCATACACTGCCAAAAAACAAGGACTCTTAGCCTGAGTCCCAGATCTGTTGCGCTGTCTTGACAACCTCTAGGTCATTGTCATGCCAAATGATATTCAGTTGGCAAGACGTGTCTAAACAGATCTGGGACTCTGGAAGTCTACAGCACTATCAATACACAAGGCATTTGTGCTGGGACATCCTGGCATTTGACACCTTGATATTTTGTGGCGAAACATGGCAAATGTCAGCGATCTCTCCAGTGGACCCAAACAGATCCATGCACCTTTGTTGTGGGTTGACCTTTCTTTCGAAGCAATGGAATGATGGAATGATAAACTCTCTTCTTTTCTTTGTCTGTTAAAAACAATATATATACCTACAGTTGTGAAAAGTTTTCTTCCAGACTTTTCAGAAGCAAGATTGACAGCTGGATATCAGGGGATAAGATTCTGATGGAATGATTAAGATCAGCCTCGCTGTATATATCTCTCTCTCTTTCCCTCTCTCTCTGTCTCTCTCTCGCTCTCTCCCCCTCACTCTCTCTCTATCTCTCACTCTCTGTCTCTCTCTCGCTCTCTCCCCCTCACTCTCTCTCTCTCTCTCTCTCTCTCTCTCTCTCTCTCTCGCTCTCTTTTTCTCTCTTCCTCTTGAAGATTATGCTGATAATTTATTTTCTTCCTGAATCAAACTTTGGTGATAGCAGATAGACGATAGAATGGCCTTACTTCAAAAGGAGGCCTAGGCAAGAAAAGGAGGTTGTGATGATCATTGGAGCTGGGTGGCATTTGGAACTTTGAAAGCAAACACATGAAGACCTTGGGAAACCTTTAATCAGAGCTAAACTTTTTCTGCCTCGTGTAGGATTGGGAGGACTCAAATAGAGCTCTGGGGAGGAGTGAACAGATACTATCGTCATTGTCATCTAATCTCATGGCCATGTTCTCTGAATGTCTATAGCTGAAATGTTCCACATATGGAGTGGAAGTTGAATAGGACTGTTTATGTGATGCTACACCGCTGTCACTAACTCCTCTCTCTCTCTCTCTCTCTCTCTCTCTGTATATCTATATATATATCTGATATTTATGGTTCTATATGTATATCTATGTATCTATATATCTTATGGTATATATATGGAATATATATTTATGTATATATATATATATATACTATAATTTATTGTATATATATTATATTTACGTATATATATTATTTTATGTATATATCTTTTATGTATATATATATATATACGTATATACTATTAGTATATCTATATAAGTATATAGTAAGATATATATCATATATATTATATCGCTCTCAGACTATATCTATATTCTATAGATATATATAATATATATCTATATCTCTAGCTATATATACTTTCACTATCAATATAATATATATATAAGTATCATATATATATAAGCATCTATAAGTATTATAATCCTCTCGATATATTATATATTTTTATGCATCATATATAAGTATATATTTATCTCTATATATACTTTAGCGGTCATTATATATATACTTTATAGTTAATTAGATGTATCAGATCTCATATATTATATAGTATATACTCCCTTTAAAGGAGAGATAATATATATATATTTCCGTATCCTTCTATATATCCTCTTCTCTATATTCTTAGATATCATTAGTCATTATATATAAGATATATTTATTATGTATATATATATCTATATACGTTATCTGTCTACTATCTATCTCTATATATCATGTATGTATATTTATACTCTATAGATCATATACATTTATGTATGTATATATCATCCTCTCCTCTAGTTCGATACTATATATAGATCTTTTCTGCTCTCTCTTCTAGAATACTACTATACTCTCTCTCTCTCTCTATCATATATAGTATCATTATGATTGTGTGGTGTCTCATATCGACAGACTCTCTCTCTATATCTATCATATCTCTCGCTTCTCTCTTCTTCTATCTAGATATCCTCTGTCTCTATCTCTCTATTCTCCTATATCTCTCATATCTATCGCGCCTCTATTTATCCCTCCTGTATCTCTTATCTCAGCTTTATCTTTCGTATGTCTATTCTTCTCTATATCTCTCTTTATGTCGCTATATCTACACCCATATCTCTGTATCTCTCTCTTGGATCCTCTCTGTATCTCTAATTCTACATCTCTCTCGTTCTGTCTCTCTGTCTCTTCATGTCTCTTCGGTATCTCTTCGTATCTTCTCTCCCTCCCTCTCTATCCATATATCCTCCTCATATCCTCTCTCTCGATCTCTTTTCTTCTCTACTACGATCTCCATTATATGATATGCCTCATCGTATCTCTCTCTCTTCTCTCTCTCTCTCTCTCTCTCTTCTCTCTCTGTATCTCTCTCTCTCTCTTCTCTTCCTCTGTATCTCTCTCTGTATCTCTCTCTCTCTCTCTCTCTCTCTCTCTCTCTCTCAGGGAGCTCCTGGGCCCAGACTTCACAGAAACCCAGTACAGTGAGGATGGGCAGCCTGTAACTGTGGCCACCAATTACACTGTAAGTCTCTATCCCTCCCCCACTACTCACCCTCTCTCTCCCTCTCCCGGTTCTCCCCACGACCCTCATGCCTATCACTACTCAGCCTGCTGGATTCTCAGACCTCCATCACATGATGTTTCAGGGACAGCAGAAAACACTATCACATGCTTTTACTACCACACACACACACACACTACCACAGGGCATGTACACACATACACACATACACACATACACACACACACACACACACACACACACACACACACACACATACGCACACAGGAGGAGTCTGTCAAACTATGCTTTGATTGATTTAGAATGAGCATCTTTCCCAGAAAAGTTGTAAATAGATTGGTACAGATAGTGCCATACACTTCAAATTCAGTGTCAAGGTTTGAACCTCTTACGGCTACGGTTCTACGCCTGAATCGTCCCTCTCTACCGTTTACTGTGAATATAAACTCTTTATTGGTCCATTTCTCCGTATGGACATTTCTGAGGCTAGGATTTCAGTTGAACACATTTCAGGTTTGTATGAAGGCTTTAAACCTATTATGTGTTCTGCAGAGTTTCTAAGTTTATCTTTATTGTGAGTTATTCTACCGGAGATGTTCAGTCATTTATCATCATCATCATCATCATCATCATCATCACCGTCATCGTCATCGTCGTCGTCGTCGTCGCCGTCGTCATCGTCGCTGTCGTCATCATCATCATCATCACCTTCATCATCGTCGTCATCGTCATCGTCATCGTCATCGTCGTCGTCATCGTCACCATCATTATCATTATCATCATCATCATCGTCGTCATCATCATCGTCGTCGTCGTCGTCATCGTCATCATCATCATCATCGTCATCATCATCGCCATCATCATCGTCGTCATCATCATCATCGTCATCATCATCATCATCATCAACGTCGTCGTCGTCATCATCATCATCGTCATCATCATCGTCGTCGTCGTCGTCATCATCGTCATCATCATCAGCAGGCCTTATCGTCCCTTCATCTTTCCCAAAGTTATAAAACCTTTTTCAGCATGACTGCAATCATCATGCAATTTTCCTGGGTACAAATACAATTGCTCTCAGTTTTGCGGAGAGGTGTCAACATTTTCGGTACAGAGTCAGGATAATTGTAAATTGACATTCTCGTTCAAGTTCAACCTGCCCAACCTGATAATACAGTAAATACACCTTTTACATTTGACGAACGGAAACCAGGCCGAACCTGTAACAGATTCATGTAGCCTAGTCAGCCAATGTTGTAGAGCTGACTACATTACAACATGGATAACTATTAACAACTGTATGACTAATAAGGGAATAAATCCTTAATCATTTTTATTACCGTGACACAGGAAAGCGGTGCGACCGCATTCACCCACCGCCTTGAACGATGCATAAATGATGAGAGCCATTTTATTAGTGCTGTTGGGGAGTTTGTTTGACAAGCTGCTCAGGCTCGCGGGTTCGAGGGCGGCGGCTCGTCTCGTCTACACGGTCGTCAGCAAGTCAGAGTCTGGCCCACGGGATATGAAAGGATACATTGACGGTGTGAAAGACTGCAAGCTGCTCTCTTACAAACTCACCAACATGGATCTGCCTGCTTCAGCTGGAGTGGAGAGGAATCAAACATGCACGCACGCACACCGCACCACACACACACACACACACACACACACCACGCGCACACCACACACACCGCACCACACACACACCACACCACACACACACACACACACACACACACACACACACACACACACACACACACCACATACACACACACACACACACACACCACACCACACACCACATACACACACCACATACACACCACACACACACACACCACACACACACACACACACACACATACGCACACACACTCTGAGGCACATGAACAGACAGAAGCACACTCACACAGAAACAAGCAAGCATTGATGCACATTCAAAGACACACACACACACACACATATACACACTGTTGTGAGGTGGCACAAACACACAGTACATGGGACAATAAAGACAGCATTGATTTGATGGTCTCACAGCTCTCTCACAGCTCTCTCACAGCTCTCTCACATCTCTCTCACAGCTCTCTCACAGCTCTCTCACAGCTCTCTCACATCTCTCTCACAGCTCCCTCACAGCTCTCCCACAGCTCTCTCACAGCTCTCTCTTACAGTTCTCTCACAGCTCTCTCACAGCTCTCTCACATGGCCAAGCATGTGGACCAACTCAAATCAGTGCCATCCATGGGAATGTATCTGCCCTCAAGTCATTCAATGAAGTATTCAGTGAAAGACTGAAAGAGGAATAAATTAACAAAACATGAATAGCCGATGAAATCTACGTCTCTCATTCTCAGAACTCCAGAATGACTCATAGTCCTGTAGGGTTATTGCTGCCTAGTAACAACCAAAGCAGCAAACAAACAAACGGTAGACAACCCAATGACAGCGGATGTGTCGAGGTGAATGTGGGCCATGAACGGCTGTATGCTTTATGAATAAGCATCCGGCTCTTTAAAAGGAAACATCTGTCTCTAGATTCTAGAACATTCAACAGGAAGAGGAACTGAAGCATCTATCTACCCTGTCACGTGACCTGGGTCTATTTCCCCAGTGACCCAGATATAATTGACTGTGGTGGTGGTGTGGGTTAACTGTTGTGGGTTAACCCTAAACCTAACCTCCAGACCACTCCAAACCAAACGGTAAACCCCAACCCCCTTGGAGCGCAGAAACCAAGATAACACATTCCAATCCAGTCAGTGTCAGCCGGGGTTAAATCAATCTGAACTGGAGATAATTCACAGATAGTGATAAAATACCTTCCTGTTAACCCTTTACAACTGTGACAGATTAGAAGCCTGTGGAGGAGATTTACCTGTTCCTAGCTTTCCTAGTCATTAGAATCAGAGGCTTAGTTCTACTATATGACTTCATGATATGACTACAGAGATGACACTGGATAAAAGAGATGACACTGGATAAAAGAGGTGAAACTGGATAAAAGTATTTTTAACCACAGTCAACGGAGTTAGGTGAAATTGTTGGTGTGCGTTCAGCTTCCCGCTGACGCAACGTTATTTCCAGACAGTTGGCCAATATTTAAAGTGAGGCACAAGTGCCTGTGTTGGTAATAAGATAATTTGACAGCCATTTAGAGTCGATTTGGAGTCGAATGCAAATTAGATGTGTAGGAAAGGGTACCGGGGTGTTTTATTTGCTTTGTTAGTGTCGGCGTTGCAGAGTTCTGACAGAAGTCATGACAACGTTCTCTAAATGGCGATTTGATGTAAATGAAGAAGAAAAGTGCCAAGACACTGTGATGGCGATGGAAAGAAAAGTTTTTAAAACACGCGCACACACGCACACACGCACACACGCACACACACACACACACACACACACACACACACACACACACACACACACACACACACACACACACACACACACACACACACACACACACACACACACACACACACACACACACACACACACACACACACACACACACACACACACACACACAACAAGAGTGAATCTATGAGTCTTGCTGTTCTGGGTATACACCCAGACCCCCCTCCACATCCTCCTCACAGAGCAGTAAAATTATACACCCAGACCCCCTCCACATCCTCCTCACAGAGCAGTAAAATTACACACCCAGACCCCCTCCACATCCTCCTCACAGAGCAGTAAAATTATACACCCAGACCCCCTCCACATCCTCCTCACAGAGCAGTAAAATTATACACCCAGACCCCCTCCACATCCTCCTCACAGAGCAGTAAAATTACACACCCAGACCCCCTCCACATCCTCCTCACAGAGCAGTAAAATTACACACCCAGACCCCCTCCACATCCTCCTCACAGAGCAGTAAAATTACACACCCAGACCCCCTCCACATCCTCCTCACAGAGCAGTAAAATTACACACCCAGACTCCCTCCACATCCTCCTCACAGAGCAGTAAAATTACACACCCAGACCCCCTCCACATCCTCCTCACAGAGCAGTAAAATTATACACCCAGACCCCCTCCACATCCTCCTCACAGAGCAGTAAAATTACACACCCAGACTCCCTCCACATCCTCCTCACAGAGCAGTAAAATTACACATCCAGACCCCCTCCACATCCTCCTCACAGAGCAGTAAAATTATACACCCAGACCCCCTCCACATCCTCCTCACAGAGCAGTAAAATTACACACCCAGACCCCCTCCACATCCTCCTCACAGAGCAGTAAAATTACACACCCAGACCCCCTCCACATCCTCCTCACAGAGCAGTAAAATTATACACCCAGACCCCCTCCACATCCTCCTCACAGAGCAGTAAAATTATACACCCAGACCCCCTCCACATCCTCCTCACAGAGCAGTAAAATTACACACCCAGACCCCCTCCACATCCTCCTCACAGAGCAGTAAAATTACACACCCAGACCCCCTCCACATCCTCCTCACAGAGCAGTAAAATTACACACCCAGACCCCCTCCACATCCTCCTCACAGAGCAGTAAAATTACACACCCAGACCCCCTCCACATCCTCCTCACAGAGCAGTAAAATTACACACCCAGACCCCCTCCACATCCTCCTCACAGAGCAGTAAAATTATACACCCAGACCCCCTCCACATCCTCCTCACAGAGCAGTAAAATTATACACCCAGACCCCCTCCACATCCTCCTCACAGAGCAGTAAAATTACACACCCAGACCCCCTCCACATCCTCCTCACAGAGCAGTAAAATTACACACCCAGACCCCCTCCACATCCTCCTCACAGAGCAGTAAAATTACACACCCAGACCCCCTCCACATCCTCCTCACAGAGCAGTAAAATTACACACCCAGACTCCCTCCACATCCTCCTCACAGAGCAGTAAAAATCGCCACCCAATTTCCGTGATGCTTTTTTTTCTCTCGTTATAAAAGCAATTCATGGGTAAAAACAACAACAACAACATATTTTTTTCTGTTCCGTTTTTTGCCCCCATGCCCACACAGCAACCTGAAAACCTCCATATAAAACGAGCGTCTCTGTATGCTGTGAGTGCATGTTGGTGAGCTCCTGCGGCTCTAAGATCTTTATTTACAGTAGACACCTTCCCAGGTGGCACGCCATTTTTGTTACACGCCTGAAACATGGCAGAGGCGTCGTGTGTAATGTGTTGTGTATACGCTCGGATTTTTTTCCCTCCGTTGACGTGACGTGGTGCATCTAGAGAATGAGACAAACACCAGGCTCTTAGATTGCCAGGGAACGTTTTCACCGACAATTGATTTGTATGTCCTCCATGCATGAGCGTACCCATTCGCTTCTGACGTTCATATAGATTAGCTTATTTCACGGTCTGATGGGGCCGACAAAAGCCTTTTAAATAGCCAAGAATTGTCATTTATGTACAATTTCAGCCTGTTTCCGAATAAATTAATTGGAGTGATAATTCCCCGTTCTCTTGGATGTTGGTTGTGTTCCGTCGGAGGCCGCGGGGCCCACAAAAGCAACACCGGAGGACCGTGCTCTGTGACATCGTTCGTGGCCCATTGTGACATCGTTCGTGTCCCATTGTGACATCATTTCCAGGACAGCCAGCTCAGGTTAAAATGTCAACGGGAAGTTTGTGTTCTGTGCTCCTTAGAGGCAGAAAAACAGAGCCGCACTAGGGGCCTCAGTTTCTCATAAAATAGAGATGTTTAATGCAACTGCAGTGACGATGCAGGCTATATCGAGGCAAAAAAAAAAAAAACGATTTTATTAAATCCTCTTTTCCTGTACTGATCTTGTTATTACATGTTACATTACTGTGCAGGAAAGCTCAATTCACAATGGAGTTCCATTCAGACACAAAGCCCTCCTCTGTAATGAGAAGCAGAAGCTCATACAGTAGCTACATTGATAAAGAGATAATTCACCATTTCACCGAAACCCTGAAGCTTTTAAATGAATGCACAGATATTTAGGTAGCTATGGTAATGCGACTCAAACGCAACAGGAACTCTCCATACAATGCCAATTGTTTGGATTTCATAGAAAAGACTGATGCATCAGTAGGCATTCGGCCTTCTCTGAATAGCTCTCTCCAGACCTAAATCGGTGCATAATTGTGACGACTACTGAGGATACGAAGAGGCAGGATGCAGACGCAGGAATCAACAATGTAAAGGTTTACTTAACACTGAGCAAGAGAACAACAAAGAGCGAGTACACGACAAGACACTAAAACTTGATGGTGGGGTTGTGTGGTCTGAGCCAGGGCAATCCCAAGACGATCCGGTGAAGGGGTGACGTGACGATGTGGAATGACAGCTCCTCGTGGTGCTCCGGTAGTGTGGGAATGGTGATGGTGATGGGGAGAGTGACGTGCGTAATGGGGCCTGATCCAAGTGGTTTATTGACCAGCGAGGTGACGTGTAGCGGAGAAGGCAGTGGCACGATGGGCAACCCCCATTCAGAGAACAGCTCCCTATGGTGACAGGTGATGACGGAACACTCACGGAGCGGCGACGGGAGTCATATCGCCTAGATAGGGAGCCGCAAGGAGATCTGTGGTCCGTGGTGGTGTAGGGGGTGCTGCCCACCTCCATGGGTGAGGACCCGGAGGCAGGGCGGCTTCCATAGCTCAGATGGGGTGAGCATCGAGGCTCCGGGAGGTGTTGGGAACGCCGTCGGCCTCTCAACATGTCGTCAAGACGGATGGACGTGGCAATGAGGGTATCAAGGTCCATCTCGTCGTCCCGACATGCGAGTTCCGTCGTGATGTCCTCCCGTAAGCCTCTCCTGAAGGCCGTGCGCAGAGCACGCTCATTCCAGCCGGAAAGACGCCGCCACCGTGCGAAAGCTCAGGGTGTACTCGAAGGCGGCCCCCTCTCCCTGTTGTAGCCGGAGGAGACGCTCACCCCCCGTCCTTTCCCACCCGTGGGATGATCGAACACCGCCCTGAACCGAGCGAGGAAGGTGGAGTAGAAAACCTCCTTCCCAGACTGATGTGGCCCACTCCAGCGCCTTTCCCTTCAGTAGCGACATCACCAGCGCTATCCTGGCTTGGTCCGATGGAGATGCCCCACGCTGACGCGCCAGATACAGTGAAACCTGTAGCAGGAAGCCTCTACAATTCGTAGTTTTCCCGTCGTAGCGCTCTGGCGGGGCGAGGGGTCCTTCAGACGTTGGTGGACTGGGTGCACTCGCCGCTCCCTGAGGTGGAACCCGGAGCGATGGTCAGTTCATGCAGCGTTTGGAGCACTTCCTGCATGGCGGCGTTCAGCTGGGCAATCTGCTGCTGGTGCTGGTCCAGGCACTGGGAAACTCCAGGAGGATTACCTGCTGCATCCATCTTCGTGATTGGTGTGTGATTCTGTGACGAGTACTGAGGAATACGAAGAGGCAGGACGCAGATGCAGGTTGTGGGCTCAGACCGGTGGCTCAGTAGACCGGCGAATCAGAACGCCGGAGGGGAGCAACGGGAGGAGACGTGACAGCCTGTGGCCGTGTCCCTTGGAAGGACGTTTAACATACCTCACCCAAAAGGGTTGTCGGCCTAAAAAATTATTGTAAAAAATATGCTAATCTTTTTTCTCCTAGCACTTTTATGCAAAGAACGTCCTAGAGCAATAACAGTGGAGCTCTAGCATGGAGTCACTGAAATACATCCACGATCAAGCGAGTATTGTACATTTTGTCCAAACCCAGGACATGTTGTGTTGCAGTGTACCAGCTGGTCTCTGATTAAACATGGGGACTACATGGGATCTGTAGGAACCTTTGTTTCACTGCATCGATAGCCAGCATCAATTTATCACATGATGCAGGCCTATAGGATTTAGTGTGCAAATAAACATTATGGTATAGTACGTTTGACTGAAATAGTTGAAATATCTCTCTGAAATCTATATTTCTCTCTCTCTCTCTCTCTCTCTCTCTCTCTCTCTCTCTCTCTCTCTCTCTCTCTCTCTCTCTCTCTCTCTCTCTCTCTCTCTCTCTCTCTCTTTCTCTCTCTCTCTCATATCACAGGATCACTGCTTCTACCACGGGCATGTAAGAGGCCACATCGACTCCTGGGTAGCCCTTAGCACATGTTCAGGAGTGAGGTATGTAAAAGCCCATTATCATTTATAACTTTTCTTGGATTTTCAGTCCCTTGTTAGACATTTCCCTTAGGCACTGATCAAGAATCAACTTGCCCTTTACAAATCCTAACCTTAATCATTAGTTGGAAGAAATGCAAAACTGACCTTAGAGCAATGTCTAGAGGCAACTTCAGCTGGAGTAAATTCTGTCATCTTTCTCCAAATGAACCATAGAGTGGGATAACAATGGGAGTCAAGTTCTACCTCAAACACCCAGAATTCAGTCAGATATTTATTGTATTTTACATAACTGTGTTGCTGGATGTAAAATCCCCCAGGCAAGTAGTGTGAGTTCTCATGAAACTCCCTGGCTAATTCAATTCCTCAAATCTTATTTTGGGATACAGACGGCAGTTTAAAAGTCTTAAAATTTTCCCTGCCTCAGAACAGAATTTTAATACGAAGCTTCTTGCATATCAAATGCTTTGAAATTGGAGCTCTCCTGTGGCAAAGGATGCCCCCGTCGCCACCCGTACACCCTGAAAAATATATTCATATGAATTTCATCGAGCCGAAGACCTCAAGTTTCTAGCTCGCTCGCTCTTTATTAGAAATTAATTCCAGAAGCCAGCTCAGCAGATCCTTGACTGATAAGAGTGTTTCAGACAAGTTTTTGTCACGATCGTCGGATATAGAGGACCAAGGTGCAGCGTGGAAGGTGAACATACTTATTTATTAAATGATACACGAACAAAACAACAAATCGATACGTGACGTCCACAGGTGCAAAACACAAACCAACACGGAACAAGATCCCACAAACACTGTGGGAAAACCACCTGACTAAATATGGTTCCCAATCAGAGACAACCAGCAACAGCTGATACTCGTTGCCTCTGATTGAGAACCACTCAGGCCAACATAGATATACCAAAACTAGACTAGATACAACGAGCACAAAACATAAACTCTACACACCCTGGCTCAACTTAAAAGAGTCCCTAGAGCCAGGGCGTGACAGTTTTTCTTCAATAACAATTGTTTTATCTTTAGGATTTTTTCCTCTGTGATACTCTTTATGTCTCTCAGACAGCAAGAGGAGCTAATTTGTAGTGCCTGTTTGTCCTTATCCTGGCTGAGGATGTAGTGAGACGGTATCAGTCACAGGTTAGGATGAAACCGAAGAGACAAACCGAGGACCTCAACTCAACAGAATGAAAATGTCTAACCTACACAGAGATAGTGGGAAAAAACTCAGTTAATCAAATAACAACTTTCAACAAAGGCAAGAGATAAACTAAAGGGTCAAAGTTCAAACAAGATACAACTCTGAAGGTGCAGTGTATAATTACATTTTAAGGCCTACCAAAGACACTTCATAGAACAGTCATAAGCAAATGGCGTGCTAGAGAAAGGTTGGCAAACGGTTAACCTCTATTACGTAATCATACTCTTTTATTACACTGGCTTGTTTTCCTTGGACACGTAACGTCATGAGGGCGTAGTTTAAAGGGCACCTGGTAATGCTGATAAGCCAGGTCATACCCCCTGCTTTAGCGAGGTCATACCCCCTGCTTTAGCGAGGTCATACCCCCTGCTTTAGCGAGGTCATACCCCCTGCTTTAGTCATATTAGTTAGTGAGACTCATCATCAACAACAAAGGTTCCACTCACGGAACACCCAAAAGTTCCAGAATCACGTCTGCCATTCCATTCTATTGTCTGTGTTCCATCCCTGCCCTTTTCCCCTTTTAGCAGCAGTTGAATATTTTCTATTCCCTTCCAATGCCACCTCCCAGCTCATATTCTCGGCTGGCCGCCGTCACGCTACAAAGAGAGGTGTTTCTGTATTGACTCAATATTGAATTAGGTGGTAACGGGAGGGTGAGTTGGACTCACCCCAAACCCTGAACTTAATAATAATAATAACAATAATATGCCATTTAGCAGACGCTTTTATCCAGTCATGTGTGCATACATTTTTACGTAACTTCAACGAATCTGACTTGTGTTTAAAGTCACGGTTCCAAAGTAAGCCAGGGAATGTTGTGTTCAGTTCGACGTGCCATGACTGAAAGGGCCTGCTGTGTGTGTGCATGTGTGTGCATGCTTCACATGCGTGTGCAGCACATGCATACATTTTCCTGAGAGCCATTTGATTCCCATTTGATTCCCATTTGATTCCCATTTGATTCCCATTTGATTCCCATGCATTGTGCTTCTTTGCTGTGCTGATATCAACTGGGACAAAGATCTCCATAGCCGAGGTGCATTACACAATCTGGATCACAGTACCTTCTCCAGCCACAGCACTCCTTTGTTCAACACACAGGAAGCATGACTTCTCTCTGAGGTGCAAAGCATAACGGATGTTCATTGGATGTTCATTTTCGCCCATTGAGGTTCGCCCGCCGCCGCAGTCGTTTTGGTTCTGACCCTCTTTAGCTTCCAGATTATTTTCAATAAATGTAGAATTTTTCCTAACGAATGCCTTGCAACCTCGTCAGTATCAGATAGTGGAAATTTTTTGCATCATGAACTCAAGTGATGTTGGTGACGTTGATTGTAAAAGATGTACTTACGACCAGATAATAATATGCCATTTAGCAGACGCTTTTATCCAAAGCGACTTACAGTCATGCGTGCATACATTTTTGTGTATGGGTGGTCCCGGGGATTGAACCCACTACCTTAGCGTTACAAGCGCCGTGCTCTACCAGCTGAGCTACAGAGGACCACAGATGTCTTAACTTGTCTCCAAACAAAGGTGCTCAACTCAATACAGCTGTCACGCTCTGGCTCCGGGACTCTGTATATTGAGCCAGGGTGTGTTCATTATTTGGGTGTATTTCTATGTTTGTATTTCTGTTGGGTTCATTTCTATGTTTGGTCAATGACTCCCAATCGGAGGTAACGAGTGTCAGCTGTCGGCTCGTTATCTCTGATTGGGAGCCATATTTAATCTGTATGTTTTCCTGTGGGTGTTGTGGGTTTTTGTTCGTGTTTGGTTGTGTATTGACCATCGACTGTCACGTCGTTGTTTTGTTGTAAAGATCGGGTGATCATTCAAATAAATATTATGTTCACATTCAACGCTGCGCCTTGGTCCTCCTCCTCTATGTATGACGAGCGTGACAACAGCCCTTTGTTTCATGCTTTCATGCTCTGTTGATAACATGGATTTTACAGGGAAGCAATTTTTCACCTTACACTCTTAGAAAAAAAGGTGCTATCTAGAACAGGGGGGGCAAAGTACTGCCCGCGGGCATTTCAATCCGGCCCTCGAGACATTTTTTAGATGTATTAAATATTATTATATTTGAGTTAAGATTTTTTGCCTAAAATTACACATTCCATGATATACAAACAACCTGGCAGCGCGCTCTGTATTTGGGCCTACAGTCAGATTCAGAATGCACTCAGTCATCATAGCCACTTCATTGCTTAACGACTGCGGAAAAAGTGGTGGCTTCGATCACCGCTGTTCGTTTACTATTCTTGTGGGGACTTCTGGTCCCCACAATAATAGTTAAACACGTCCACACACACACACACACACACACACACATGGCCTCTTGTCAGATCAAATCAAATCAAATGTTATTTGCCACATGCGCTGAATACAACAGGTGTAGACATTACTGTGAAAGGCTTACTTACAACCCTTAACCAACAATGCATTTATTGTTTAATAAAAAAGTAGGGAGGCTATATACAGTGGGGTACCGGTACAGAGTCAATGTGCGGGGGCACTGGCTAGTTGAGGTAGTTGAAGTAATATGTACACGTGGGTAGAGTTAAAGTGACTATGCATAAATAATTAACAGAGTAGCAGCAGCGTAAAAAGAGGGGGTGGGGGTGGGGGGGCAGTGCAAATAGTCTGGGTAGCCATGATTAGTTGTCCAGGAGTCTTATGGCTTGGGGGTATAAGCTGTTGAGAAGGCTTTTGGACCTAGACTTGGCGCTCTGGTACCGCTTGCCGTGCGGTAGCAGAGAGAACAGTCTATGACTAGGGTGGCTGGAGTCTTTGACAATTTTTAGGGCCTTCCTCTGACACCGCCTGGAATAGAGGTCCTGGATGGCAGGAAGCTTGGCCCCAGTGATGTACTGGGCCGTGCGCACTACCCTCTGTAGTGCCTTGCGGTCGGAGGCCGAGCAGTTGCCATACCAGGCGGTGATGCAACCAGTCAGGATGCTCTCGATGGTGCAGCTGTATAACTTTTTGAGGATCTGAGGACCCATGCCAAATCTTTTCAGTCTCCTGAGGGGGAATAGGCTTTGTCGTGCCCTCTTCACAACTGTCTTGGTGTGTTTAGACCATGATAGTTTGTTGATGATGTGGACACCAAGGAACTTGAAGCTCTCAACCTGTTCCACTGCAGCCCCGTCGATGAGAATGGGGGCGTGCTCAGTCCTCTTATTTTTTTCCTGTAGTCCACAATCATCTCCTTTGTCTTTGAAGGAGAGTGACTCTCTTTGCCTCTAAATGGCATTTTACAGTCCTCTATCCTCTTGGACAAGTTCCCTCCAGGCTCCCCTGTATGAGACCACAGGCTAAAACATCCATATATTACCACTCTGTTGTTTATAGCTCAAAGACCACTGCCCTTAGGGCCTCAGGGTCCTTTATCACCCCCTGCTGGTCAAAACTGGAACTACCCCAGGGCAGTTGTACTGTGACATTAGCAGCATGAATGATGACATTTCACATGCAGACATGTCATGTAATATTATCATATGTATTATCTTATGTACAAATAATTGTTGCTTAACTGCATAACATCTTTGTTGCTGTTTTAGTTCTTTAAATTCTGTAATTTCTAGTGTTCGTCCAATCATGCCTCTTTATTCCCTCCTTGCTGAAACAGGGGCCTGATTGCCTTGAACTCAAATGACACCTACTACCTTGAGCCAATCAGAGGGCTGGACTTTCTCCATCACTCACTGGTCAACGCAGAGGATCTGCCAATCAGAGGCGGGACCTGCGGCCACGGGCATCAGACTGGACACCCCAACCTCCTCTCCGGTCTGCTTAAACCTTTGCATCAAAGGGTGAGGGGGCTAAGACACAACAACACACTAACAGACACACACACTAACAGACACATCAACACACTAACAGACACATCAACACACTAACAGACACATCAACACACTAACAGAAACATCAACACACTAACAGACACACACACTAACAGACACATCAACACACTAACAGACACAACAACACACTAACAGACACAACAACACACTAACAGACACATCAACACACTAACAGACACATCAACACACTAACAGACACACACACTAACAGACACATCAACACACTAACAGACACACACACTAACAGACACATCAACACACTACAAGACACATCAACACACTAACAGACACACACACTAACAGACACATCAACACACTAACAGACACATCAACACACTAACAGACACACACACTAACAGACACATCAACACATCAACACACTAACAGACACATCAACACACTAACAGACACATCAACACACCAACAGACACATCAACACACTAACAGACACATCAACACACTAACAGACACATCAACACACTAACAGACACAACAAGCCCACCAAAGTATATTCATTTGTATAGACTGGGTGATATGTTCTCTATCAACAGACCAAACAAGAGTGACAAGTTTTTACAGATGTACCAGACGAAACAAAAGTTACAAATGTTTATGTTTGCATGGCAGATGTCAGACTACACCACGGTGTACAGCCCAAACACAGACTTCTGCTCACAAATCAAACATACAGTAGAATCAAATAACATCACCCAGGTTCTATTCCAACAAACCAAACATACAGTAGAATCAAATAACATCACCCGGTTTCTATTCCAACAAACCAAACATACAGTAGAATCAAATAGCATCACCCAGGTTCTATTCCAACAAACCAAACATACAGTAGAATCAAATAACATCACCCAGTTTCTATTCCAACAAACCAAACATACAGTAGAATCAAATGACATCACCCAGGTTCTATTCCAACAAACCAAACATACAGTAGATTCAAATAACATCACCCAGGTTCTATTCCAACAAACCAAACATACAGTAGAATCAAATAACATCACCCAGTTTCTATTCCGACAAACCAAACATACAGTAGATTCAAATAACATCACCCAGGTTCTATTCAGACAAACCAAACATACAGTAGAATCAAATAACATCACCCGGTTTCTATTCCAACAAACCAAACATACAGTAGATTCAAATAACATCACCCAGGTTCTATTCCGACAAACCAAACATACAGTAGAATCAAATAACATCACCCGGTTTCTATTCCAACAAACCAAACATACAGTAGAATCAAATAACATCACCCAGGTTCTATTCCAACAAACCAAACATACAGTAGAATCAAATGACATCACCCAGGTTCTATTCCAACAAACCAAACATACAGTAGAATCAAATGACATCACCCAGGTTCTATTCCAACAAACCAAACATACAGTAGAATCAAATAACATCACCCGGTTTCTATTCCAACAAACCAAACATACAGTAGAATCAAATAACATCACCCAGGTTCTATTCCGACAGGAGGAGACGTCTCTGCTGTTAAATAGTCTTTTCTGTTATTATTCCTTGAGGAGAAAGCTTCTTCTTTGTGTGATTAACATTCTGATGTAATGGACATAGTAATCATCAGTATCTGTTGGCAGGGATGATTACATGGCAATTGACTACACACACACATGTACAAACACACACACACACACACACACACACACACACACACACACACACACACACACACACACACACACACACACACACACACACACAAAGTAAAGTTTGTCCTGCAGAGGAAATGAACATCTCTCTTGTCATACAAGCACAAACACATTATTGGATTTCTCTCAGAGACGTTTTAGAGGCACACATACAATCACTCCGAGGCCAGCTGAAAGCCAGAGGGAATTATGGGGTTGGTGGTTTGGGTCTGTTGCCATTGCGTTTTTTTTCCCCCCAGTGTGGGTCTGTCTTACTGTAGTGTCCTTCCATGGAGGAAGGAGAATGGCTAAACACAGGGTCTAATTTGCTCCAGCGCAGCCGTGAATGCTGATAACGTCCCTGTGGTGGGAAGTCATTCTGGCCTCCTCTGTCTAGAAGTGGACCTCATGCTCTTTTCTCTCTCTCAATTCAATTTCAATTTAAGGGCTTTATTGGCATGGGAAACGTGTGTTAACATTGCCAAAGCAAGTGAAGTAGATAGTAAACAAAAGTGAAATAAACAATACAAATTAACAGTAAACATTACACTCAGAAGTTCCAAAAGAATAAAGACATTTCAAATGTCATATTATGTCTATATACAGTGTTGTAACAATGTGCAAATAGTTAAAGTACAAATGGGAAAATAAATAAACATAAATATATTTACAGTGGTGTTTGTTCTTCACTGGTTGCCCTTTTCTTGTGGCAACAGGTCACAAATCTTGCAGCTGTGATGGCACACTGTGGTTTTTCACCCAGTAGATAAGGGAGTTTATCAAAATTGGGTTTGTTTTCGAATTCTTTGTGGATCGCTGTAATCTGAGGGAAATATGTGTCTCTAATATGGTCATACATTTGGCAGGAGGTTAGGAAGTGCAGCTCAGTTTCCACCTCATTTTGTGGGCAGTGTGCACATAGCCTGTCTTCTCTTGAGAGCCAGGTCTGCCTACGGCGGCCTTTCTCAATAGCAAGGCTATGCTCACTGAGTCTGTACATAGTCAAAGCTTTCCTTAAGTTTGGGTCAGTCACAGTGGTCAGGTATTCTGCCACTGTGTACTCTCTGTTTAGGGCCAAATAGCATTCTAGTTTGCTCAGTTTTTTTGTTTGTTCTTTCCAATGTGTCAAGTAATTCTCTTTTAGTTTTCTCATGATTTCGTTGGGTCTAATTGTGTTGTGGTTGTTGTTGTTATTGTTGTTGTCCTGGGGCTCTGTGGGGTCTGTTTGTGTTTGTGAACAGAGCCCCAGGACCAGCTTACTTAGGGAACTCTTCTCCAAGTTCATCTCTCTGTAGATGATGGCTTTGTTATGGAAGGTTTGGGAATCGCTTCCTTTTAAGTGGTTATAGAATTTAACGGCTCTTTTCTGGATTTTGATAATTAGCGGGTATTGGCCTAATTTTGCTCTGCATGCATTATTTGGTGTTTTACGTTGTACACGGAGGATGTTTTTGCAGAATTCTGCATGCAGAGTCTCAATTTGGTGTTTGTTCCATTTTGTGAATTCTTGGTTGGTGAGCAGACCCCAGACCTCACAACCATAAAGGGCAATGGGTTCTATAACTGATTCAAGTATTTTTAGCCAGATCCTAATTGGTATGTCAAATTTCATGTTCCTTTTGATGGCATAGAAGGCCCTTCTTGCCTTGTCTCTCAGATCGTTCACAGCTCTGTGGAAGTTACCTGTGGCACCCCATCCTTTTACGCTGCTGCTACTCTGTTAATTATTTATGCATAGTCACTTTAACTCTACCCACATGTACATATTACCTCAACTACCTCAACTAGCCGGTGCCCCCGCACATTGACTCTGCACCGGTACCCCCCTGTATATATAGCCTCCCTACTGTTATTTTATTTTACTTCTGCTCTTTTTTTTCTCAACACTTTTTTTGTTGTTGTTTTATTTTTACTTTTTTTGTTAAAAAGAAATGCACTGTTGGTTAAGGGCTGTAAGTAAGCATTTCACTGTAATGTCTGCACCTGTTGTATTCGGCACATGTGGCCAATCAAATTTGATTTGATTTGATTTGATGTATAGGCAGAGGTATGTATAGTTTTTTGTGTGCTCTAGGGCAAAGGTGTCTAGATGGAATTTGTATTTGTGGTCCTGGAAACTGGACCTTTTTTGGAACACCATTATTTTTGTCTTACTGAGATATACTGTCAGGGCCCAGGTCTGACAGAATCTGTGCAGAAGATCTAGGTGTTGCTGTAGGCCCTCCTTGGTTGGTGACAGAAGAACCAGATCATCAGCAAACAGTAGACATTTGACTTCAGATTCTAGTAGGGTGAGGCCGGGTGCTGCAGACTGTTCTAGTGCCCTCACCAATTCGTTGATATATATGTTGAAGAGGGTGGGGCTTAAACTGCATCCCTGTCTCAACCCACGGCCCTGAGGAAAGAAATGTGTGTGTTTTATGCCAATTTTAACCGCACACTTGTTGTTTGTGTACATGGCTTTTATAATGTCGTATGTTTTTCCTCCAACCCCACTTTCCATCAATTTGTATAGCAGACCCTCATGCCAAATTGAGTCAAAGGCTTTTTTGAAATCAACAAAGCATGAGAAGACTTTGCCTTTGTTTTGTTTTGTTTGTTTGTCAATTAGGGTGTGCAGGGTGAATACGTGGTCTGTCGTACGGTAATTTGGTAAAAAGCCAATTTGACATTTGCTCAGTACATTGTTTTCACTGAGGAAATGAACTAGTCTGCTGTTAATGATAATGCAGAGGATTTTCCCAAGGTTGCTGTTGACGCATATCCCACGGTAGTTATTGGGGTCAAATTTGTCTCCACTTTTGTGGATTGGGGTGATCAGTCCTTGGTTCCAAATATTGGGGAAGATGCCAGAGCTAAGGATGATGTTAAAGAGTTTATGTATAGCTAATTGAAATTTGTGGTCTGTATATTTTATCATTTCATTGAGGGTTTGTATTTTGTCCTGTAGTTCATTCAATGTAATTGGAGAATCCAGTGGGTTCTGGTAGTCTTTAATAGTTGATTCTAAGATTTGCATTTGATCATGTATATTTTTTGCTGTTTGTTCTCTGTTATAGGGCCAAAAAGATTGGAGGAGTGGTTTACCCATACATCTCAGTTTTGGATAGATAGCTCTTCGTGTTGTTGTTTGTTTAGTGTTTTCCAATTTTTCCCAGAAGTGGTTAGAGTCTATGGATTCTTCAATTACATTGAGGAAGTATGGTTCAGAGTCTGTGAGAAAGAAGAGCGAGATAGAGATGAAGGACTAGAGTAGTAGAGAGAAGAGAGAGAATATAGATAGAGAGGCGAGATAGAGAATAGCTAGATAGAGGACGTGATATATCTCTCTCTATTAGAGCGCTATAGAGATATAGATCTTATCTAGCTATATGCTCTGCTCTATCTCTACTCTCTCTCGCCTCTCTCTCTCTCTGTCATCCTCTCTCTCTCTCTCTCTCTCTCTCTCTCACATACCCACTCTAGCTGGGTGGGCTAATTTCAGATGGGCTGTGTACAGGTGCAGTGATCGGTAAGGTGCTCTGACAACTGATGTTAAAGTTAGTGAGGGAGATAAGAGTCTCCAGCTTCAGAGATTTTTGCAATTCGTTCCAGTCATTGGCAGCAGAGAACTGGAAGGAATGGCGGCCAAAGGAGGTGTTGGCTTTGGGGATGACCAGTGAGATATACCTGCTGGAGCGCATACTACGGGTGGGTGTTGCTATGGTGACCAATGAGCTAAGATAAGGCGGGGATTTGCCTAGCAGTGATTTATAGATGGCCTGGAGCCAGTGGGTTTGGCGACGAATATGTAGTGAGGACCAGCCAACAAGACTGTACAGGTCACAGTGGTGGGTAGTATATGGGGCTTTGGTGACAAAAAGGATGGCACTGTGATAGACTACATCCAATCTGCTGAGTAGAGTGTTGGAGGCTATTTTGTAAATGATATCGCCGAAGTCAAGGATCGGTAGGATAGTCAGTTTTATGAGGGCATGTTTGGCAGCATGAGTGAAGGAGGCTTTGTTGCGAAATAGGAAGCAGAGTCTAGATTTAACTTTGGATTGGAGATTCTTAATGTGAGTCTGGAAGGAGAGTTTACAGTCTAACCAGACACCTAGGTATTTGTAGTTGTCCACATACTCTAGGTCAGACCCGTCGAGAGTAGTGATTCTAGTCGGGTGGGCGGGTGCCAGCAGAGTTCGATTGAAGAGCATGCATTTAGTTTTACTAGTGTTTAAGAGCAGTTGGAGGCTACTGAAGGAGTGTTGTATGGCAATTAAGCTAGTTTGGAGGTTTGTTATCACAGTGTCCAATGAAGGGCCAGATGTATACAAAATGGTGTCGTCTGCGTAGAGGTGGATCTGAGAGTCACCAGCAGCAAGAGCGACATCATTGATATACACAGAGAAAAGAGTCGGCCCAAGAATTGAACCCTGTGGCACCCCCATAGAGACTGCCATAGGTCCAGACAACAGGCCCTCCGATTTGACACATTGAACTCTATCTGAGAAGTAGTTGGTGAACCAGGCGAGGCAGTCATTTGAGAAACCAAGGCTATTTAGTCTGCCAATAAGAATGCGGTGGTTGACAGAGTCGAAAGCCTTGGCCAGGTCGATGAAGACGGCTGCACAGTACTGTCTATTATCGATCGCGGTTATAATATCGTTTAGGACCTTGAGCGTGACTGAGGTGCACCCATGACCAGCACGGAAACCGGATTGCATAGCGGAGAAGGTACGGTGGGATTCGAAATGGTCGGTGATCTGTTTGTTAACTTGGCTTTCAAAAACTTTCGAAAGGCAGGGCAGGATGGATATAGGTCTGTAACTGTTTGGATCTAGAGTGTCACCCCCTTTGAAGAGGGGGATGACCACGGCAGCTTTCCAATCTCTGGGGATCTCAGACGATACGAAAGAGAGGTTGAACAGGCTAGTAATAGGGGTTGCGACAATTTCGGCTGCTAGTTTTAGAAAGAAAGGGTCCAGATTGTCTAGCCCAGATGATTTGTAGGGGTCCAGATTTTGCAGCTCTTTCAGAACATCAGCTGTCTGAATTTGTGTGAAGGAGAAGCGGGGGGGGGGGGGGGGCATGGGCAAGTTGCAGCGGAGTGTGCAGAGCTGGTGGCCGGGGTAGGGGTAGCCAGGTGGAAAGCATGGCCAGCCATAGCAAAATGCTTGTTGAAATTCTCGATTATTGTAGATTTATCGGTGGTGATAGTGTTTCCTAGCCTCAGTGAAGTGGGTAGCTGGGAGGAAGTGCTCTTATTCTCCATGGACTTTACAGTCCCAAAACTTTTTGGAGTTAGTGCTACAGTCTCTCTCTCTCCCCCTCACCCCTTCTCTTTCTCTCTCCCCCTCACCCTTCTCTGTCTTTCACTCTCTCTCCTTCACCCCTCTCTCTCCATCCCCCCAAGTCTGAAGCAGTCCGGGAAGGCCACAGCGCTATACATGCCACCTGCCCACTGCCCCGGAACCCTGCTGGGCCACAATATTGGCCTTCTGTCTGGCTCGGGCAACACAGCCATGCCTGCGTGCATAAATCAATGTATTTTAATTACCACAGAGCCTCTGCCTAATAGCTGCAATCAAGTATTAGCAAAGCGGAAAATTACTGATAGAAAGATACTGAGATTGTGGTGTGTCTCAGACCTCAGCCACCGACAGGAAGCATGTTTTTGTTCCTTTGTGTCATTTCTTTTTTATGACTGTGAAAAGCTGTCTGTTGCCATGGTTAAAAACAAGCCCTTTTTTCGACAACGCTAGGATGAGTGGTGGGTGATCATTGCAACAGGAGGGGACACGATTCGGTCCTGAATTGCTGTGACCATCCAATTGTGTGTGTCCATTATCCCAAATGGACCAAACAACCCCTCACTGTATCCCTCCTCCCTCCCTTCTCTCTCTATCTGGAAACAGGTGAGACGAAATGCCTGGGGTACCACCAAGTACATGGAGCTGTACATCGTGGCTGACAGCACACTGGTAAGCTAGCTAGCCAATAACAAGTGAAGTTAATCTTTATTGTTCCTTTGATCAGAGCAGGTCGAGTGTGTGTGTGTGTGTGTGTGTGTGTGTGTATATATGTATGTATGGATGAATGTATGTATGTGCACAAGGTTCAGTGTGTGTCTGTGTGTGTCTGTATATGTATGTATGTATGAATGTATGTGTGTCTGTGTGTGTCTGTGTGTGTGTGTACGAAGTCAAGTGTGTGTGTGTCACATCTGTCCAGTGACGTCAACCAACCCATTGAACCATTGAGGTATCAGATGGACATTGGGAACATTGGGAACAATAATTATCTCATCTAACATAATGGACCTCACTCATCCTCAACTCTAACATAATGGACCTCACTCATCCTCAACTCTAACATAATGGACCTCACTCATCCTCAACTCTAACATAATGGACCTCACTCATCCTCAACTCTAACATAATGGTCTCACTCATCCTCAACTCTAACATAATGGTCTCACTCATCCTCAACTCTAACATAATGGACCTCACTCATCCTCAACTCTAACATAATGGTCTCACTCATCCTCAACTCTAACATAATGGACCTCACTCATCCTCAACTCTAACATAATGGTCTCACTCATCCTCAACTCTAACATAATGGACCTCACTCATCCTCAACTCTAACATAATGGTCTCACTCATCCTCAACTCTAACATAATGGACCTCACTCATCCTCAACTCTAACATAATGGTCTCACTCATCCTCAACTCTAACATAATGGACCTCACTCATCCTCAACTCTAACATAATGGTCTCACTCATCCTCAACTCTAACATAATGGTCTCACTCATCCTCAACTCTAACATAATGGTCTCACTCATCCTCAACTCTAACATAATGGACCTCACTCATCCTCAACTCTAACATAATGGACCTCACTCATCCTCAACTCTAACATAATGGACCTCACTCATCCTCAACTCTAACATAATGGACCTCACTCATCCTCAACTCTAACATAATGGTCTCACTCATCCTCAACTCTAACATAATGGTCTCACTCATCCTCAACTCTAACATAATGGACCTCACTCATCCTCAACTCTAACATAATGGACCTCACTCATCCTCAACTCTAACATAATGGACCTCACTCATCCTCAACTCTAACATAATGGACCTCACTCATCCTCAACTCTAACATAATGGACCTCACTCATCCTCAACTCTAACATAATGGACCTCACTCATCCTCAACTCTAACATAATGGACCTCACTCATCCTCAACTCTAACATAATGGACCTCACTCATCCTCAACTCTAACATAATGGTCTCACTTACCCCCAACTCTGCCTACTTTGTGTAATAGTGTATAATTATGGTGCTGGCGGATGGGCTGAAGCACCTTTTCCTCACTGATAAAGAGCATCATAGAAGGGACCAGAGGAAAGGATTCGTCATGTTAATGATGAATGTTTTCTAGTTGGGTCTAATGGTGGGAGACAGAGAACTCATTACCAGTCCTAAATAGACAATGGGCTCCAGCCGGCCAGGAATGAAAAGTTATGTCTTTCATAACGGTCTATTCTACGTTCCAGTTGGCTACCCGTTAGGTGCAATATGACTATGACGCCGTGGTAACAGTGCATGGTGGTGACCAATCAGAATACAGTATTTGGTCCACTCCCGTTCCTAATTGGTACCTATTATGATGATGAAGTGGGGCAGAGATGGTGAAGTGGGGCAGAGATGGTGAAGTGGGGCAGAGATGGTGAAGTGGGGCAGAGATGGTGAAGTGGGGCAGAGATGGTGAAGTGGGGCAGAGATGGTGAAGTGGGGCAGAGATGGTGAAGTGGGGCAGAGATGATGAAGTGGGGCAGAGATGATGAAGTGGGGCAGAGATGGTGAAGTGGGGCAGAGATGGTGAAGTGGGGCAGAGATGGTGAAGTGGGGCAGAGATGGTGAAGTGGGGCAGGTTGTTTTCTGGATCTCTCTTGTTCTATTGAGGACGGCCATTAAAAAAAAAAAAAAGTATTTTGTTTGGTTGAACATTTGTCACTATTGATTTGATATCTGCCACTGAATGCTATTCCATCTCCCTTGTAATCCAGTATAAACGACAAAATAAGGACTACCAGAAAACCAAGCTGAGGATAATGGAGATTGCCAATTATGTTGATAAGGTAAGCCAGCGCGGGGATGTGTGTGTCTTAGATGCAATCCTCAGGGGGAATAAAGAGAGCTCAATTTAATTGTCAACAAAATGGAGAGTGTGTCAGGGCCGGGAGAGTATCTGGTTTTATAAATCACCTACTGACATATCATTAACTTCTAGACAGTTTTCTGATATTCTAAGATTAATTTTCTTTCTAGTCCTTTATAATTCTGCCCTGGTTGTGTCATCAGAATGATCAAAGTGATTGAAAATGACAGATTTGAATAATGTGAACTTATCTATTCATAAATGCCTGGTCACAATGAAAAACAAAAACATATGTCCCAACCCTCTGTGTGACCCCGTTGCCGTGAGTGTTGCCTGTTGCCGTGAGTGTTGCCTTGTTGCCGTGAGTGTTGCCTTGTTGCCATGAGTGTTGCCTTGTTGCCGTGAGTGTTGCCTGTTGCTGTTAGTGATGCCAGTTGCCAGGCGGTTGTGTTATGTTGTGGTTCAGTTCTACAGAACTCTGAATATCCGGGTGCCTCTGATTGGCCTGGAGATATGGAAGGAGAGAGACGAGTGCATCATTACAGAGGAGCCCAACACCACGCTCTGGTCCTTCCTACAGTGGAGACAGAAGCTCAAGTCTCGCAAGAAGCACGACAACGCACAGCTACTGACGTTAGTAAAGACCTACCTACCTACACACACACACACACACACACACACACACACACACAGCTCCGCTATGCTCTTAACGCCACAGCAATCCCTCCCCTTCCGTCGCCCCCCAAAACAGCCCCAAAATAATTCCAGCCTTCGTTAGTGGCTAGATTGATAAATGATTAGCTAAACAGCAGTTCTATTAACTAAAAGATTGGAACATCACACCTCAGTGAGTCAGCAGCCACAACACAGCACAGCTTGACTGCCAAACACACAAACACATGCACGCACACAGAAACACACTCACACACACACTCACACACTCTCTCACACACACACAACATAGCACAGCTCGACTGCCAAACACACAGTCATCCGTAAACAGTAAATTGGAGGCCTCTTCACTGGAGGTAATTAGTTTCCAGATAGTACCTGGCTAGTGGTTCTGATTTTTAGGAACAGCTTTTTGATTTGTTTCGGGAATCTTAAGTGACAACAAGCTCCGAGAGACGTCATTGCATAGCCCCCTGAGGCGCATCTGAGAAAGGTCTCAGACAAGGCTTATCATACCTGCAGTACAACACTGTTCTCTATCTGTAATCAATGTGCATCCGTCCCAGATCCCTCCCTGCCTGAGCACGTCCATACTGGAGTGAAGAAATGAAGGTTAAGTGATTTTTTTTGTTTCCCCGCTGACAGGGGAGTGATATTTAAGGGGACCACCATAGGGATGGCCCCTTTGGAGGGGATGTGTAGCCTGGAGAACTCTGGAGGCATCAATGTGGTAAGTGGGGTGGCAAGGGTGCAGCAGAAATGTGTGTGTGTGTGTGTGTGTGTGTGTGTGTGTGTGTGTGTGTGTGTGTGTGTGTGTGTGTGTGTGTGTGTGTGCACGCGTGTGTGTGTGTGTGTGTGTGTGTGTGTGTGTGTGTGTGTGTGTGTGTGTGTGCACGCGCGTGTGTGTGTATCTGTGTGACTCTTCACATTATATATAGTGTGTGTGTGTGTGTGTTTGTGTGTGTTTCCATACGTGTGTTTCTGTGTGTTGATGTGCACCAGATGCGGTCAGTGGGCCAGAGAAATCAATAACTCTTCCACACTTGATTAGGTTGTAATAGGCTCTACTGGTTCAGTTCTCTGAGGTAATGGAGGCTAGTGTAATCCTAATATGCCAGCAGGTATATATATCCACTACACTACCCACCTTGGGGGGCTGGACACAACAGCACTGTCAAGAGATCTAAATCCTTGGGATGTCCAACTCTGACGCCATCCCATTTAAGTTTACATTTAAAACGGTTAAGGTAAGGGTTCAGGTTAGGGTTATGGTTAAGGTTAGAGTAGGTGTTAAGGTTAGGTGAAGGGTTATGGTTAAGGTTAGGGTAACGGTAGGGGTTAGGGTAAGGGTAGGGGTTAAGGATTAGAGTTTAGGGAAGGGACGTCCCAAGGATCCCGGATAGCACTAACTGGAGAAACAGCACAGGAGATGAGACATCTTGGTTTGTTGGGGTGTTAGGAGCGGTAGCCCTTTGATGTACGGAGTGACCTCAATGGATTAGATCACCATAGTTCTTTGACACAGACCAACCACTAAATTAGCGATTAGTATTCTCTACCGTTCAGTTGGACTCTGAATAGATGTACGACAGTTTATCACCAACCAAGTCACATTAGACAGTAGACCAGGTAGAATAGGTTGACTGTGTCGGCCGTTTCAGTGAATTGAAGATAGTCTGAACAGTGGAAGCTTTTAAAGATGTTAAATTGAGGGTGTTTGTGGTTATGCTAAACCCATACAAATGAGTCCTTTTTGCTATGTGGTCCCTCAGGACCATTCGGATTTACCCATCGGAGCTGCCGCCACCATGGCCCACGAGATCGGACACAATTTTGGGATGAGCCACGACCAGGAGGGCTGCTGTGTGGAGGCGACTGCGGAGCAGGGGGGCTGCGTGATGGCTGCTGCCACCGGGTAAGAATTAGCGAGTTTTACTTCCAATATGGCTACCAGAGATCCAAGATGGCCGCCACTTTACAGAACTCTCTGAAACTGAACATGATGGTTATTGTAACTGTTCACAATGGTATTCTGCATTGTGGATTTTTTTGTAATGGTTACTTTCTTGCCCCCAATAGGCATCCATTTCCCCGGGTGTTCAGCCGCTGCAGCAAGCGGGACCTGGACAACTACTTCCAGAAGGGAGGGGGGATGTGCCTCTTCAACATGCCCGACATGAAGGACCTGGTCGGGGGCAAGAGGTGTGGCAACGGCTTTGTGGAGGACGGAGAAGAGTGCGACTGCGGAGAGCCAGAGGTGAGAAAAGCCTGGCGCTCTTAGTCGTTAGCATCCGTCACCTCAGATAAGCCTAGCACTTAGCATATCATTGCTTATGTTTGATATTCTATTTGCCAATCTTCCAAAAAATGTTTAGAGGTGTTAAAAGTTTTCTGGGGACTTTGCTTTGGGAATTGTTGTTTTTAGTTTTATGGAATTACAGTTAAGTAAATCCTCTTTGGCTCAATTTGTGAGGAAGCACATATTAAAAAACGGGGAGAAGCTAATTGCTAGCTGACAGAAATGCTGATGATGTGGAGGCTGTTTTGACTCCCTTTTCGAAGCACAACTGATAGTTAGTCGGCAGCGGCGGCGGCAGATACCACAGGCTTCTGGCAAGAAGTCACCAGTTTTGACACAGCAACAGAATGCTCACTTCATAGTGTCTTTTAGTATCTTGTCGCTTAAGAAGAATTGACATTACCACACGTTACCACGCGTTACCACGCGTTACCACACGTTACCACACGTTACCGCACGTTACCACACGTTACCACACATTACCACACGTTACCACACACACAGACAGACATATGCTTGGAAAAACACAGTTTTATTTCCAGCCTTGTCAATCATGTCCCCAACTTCATATTTCTCAGCTCTTACAAGGAACTTTTTTATTTTGCTATGCAAAGTACGCTATGAAAACTGTCTAGTACTGGAAGTCACCTAACCGTATTATAACGGAAACACACTTGATTTACTCTATACACCACAGGGGCCTGTCTGGGAGGTTGATGTAGTGTTTCTTTTCCTCCGCGTAGTCTCTCTCTCCCTGATCCATTCTCTCCCTGCAGTATAATTGCCGTTTCTCATCCTTCAACTCCCACGTCGAGTTTAGAATATCTGTGGCTCGACGGCGGCGAGAACGCCATGGCAACGGGGAAGAGATGTCATTTTCACCTCTGTATGACAGCGTTCTGTGCGGTGGGGTGTCTTTTTCCACCATCTCAACACTTTGACATGTCGATCAGTGCTGTCACCACACACCACAACTGCTGTTGGAGAAGCGGAGACAGAGTCAAAGAGCAGAGGAGTTGGGATGTGAGCCGAGTGCATGTATGTGTGTGTGGGCACAGGGTCGTGCCACATTGATTTGGCTAAACGTGGTAACTGTGTGTGTGTGTTTTCTCTACAGGAGTGCACTAATGACTGCTGCAATGCCAACAACTGCACCTTGAAGGAGGAGGCTCAGTGTGCCCACGGGGTCTGCTGCGAGGGCTGTAAGGTATGACACACACACACACACTCTCACACACACACACACACACACACACTCTCACACACACACACACTCTCACACACACACACACAGATGTGGCCGGATGTCATCTCACTTACAGCACTTAAAATAGCCTCTACTTCTCCTCTCTGATCAAAAAACTTTACTTCTGCTGTCGGATCAATAACCTCTACATCTCCTGTCTGATCAATAACCTCTACTTCTCCTGTCTGATCAATAACCTCTACTTCTCCTGTCTGATCAATAACCTCTACTTCTCCTGTCTGATCAATATCCTCTCTGATCAATAACCTCTACTTCTCCTGTCTGATCAATATCCTCTCTGATCAATAACCTCTACTTCTCCTGTCTAATCAATAACCTCTACTTCTCCTGTCTGATCAATAACCTCTACTTCTCCTATCTGATCAATAACCTCTACTTCTCCTCTCAGATTAATAATTATGTACCGTCTCACGTTTCAACTTTCCTGGTTTTGTTTCACGTAAATGAGGATAACAACTTCTTCTGTGAGTCTTTTAAAAGTAGAAATAAGCTTCTTATCTCCCCAGGATGATCATAACCCATCTCTCTATTTATTTGTGTGATTGAATTATTTATTTAACCAACCCCCTCTGTAGTTAATCATGTACTGAATGGTCTTTAAAAACAAGTACATCATACTGAATCCCCCCCCTCTTTCTCTCCTTGGTTTTGCCCTCCTGTCCCCCCCCCCCCCAGCTGAAGCAGGCAGGTACCATGTGTCGTGGTCCTGCGGGGGCGTGCGACCTGCCTGAGTACTGCACTGGCGGCTCTCCCTACTGCCCGTCCAACGTTTACCTGCTGGATGGTTCCTCCTGCCAGTACGGTCACGCCTACTGCTACAACGGCATGTGCCTGACCCACGAACAACAGTGTCTGCAGCTGTGGGGCTACGGTAGGGATGGACATACTGGATGGACATACTGGATGGACATACTGGTGTATTAAAAATACCAGAATACAGAAGGACCTCGTATGCTGCACACACAGCAAAGCACTAATAATAATAATATGTCATTTAGCAGACGCCTTTCATCCAAGGCGACTTACAGTCATGCCTGAGTATGTTTTCACTAATAGGAGTTCCCGGGAATCAAACCCACTATCCTGGCGTTGCGAGCACCGTGCTCTGCCTTGCTGTACTAACTGAGCTACACGGGGGAGCTACGGATGTCTCTGAACTTGGACAGTGGAAACATCCAATCAGAAACATCAGTATTATCTCATTAACACACACACACTGCATTACCACGTGCACACACACACACACACACACACTGCATTACCACGCGCACACACACACACTGCATTACCACGCGCACACACACACACACACACACACACACACACACACACTGCATTACCACGCGCACACGCGCACACACACACACACACACACACACACACACACACACACACACACTGCATTACCACGCGCACACGCACACACACACACACACACACACACACACACACACACACACACACCGCATTACCATGCACACACACCCATCCTCTGTTCCCGTACACACAGACCTAGAGAGTATCTGGAGAGCTTTTGTCACGTACGATAGTTACCTCACTATCTCAGTAAGCCAGTCACATCTCCACCGTCAAACCCGCTTCAGCATTTAGAAACTCCAGCTAGTCATTACAATGGCCACCTTTAAACAGCATTAGCATAATTGATGATAAGGATGTCGACCTTTTCCCTCTCTCCATCTGCATGGGTAGTGATGTATCGCCTTTCCTGTTCACATGCGGAACACAGATCACCATGACGATCCACACCTTTAAACTGCATTAGCATACAAAGTTGGGTAACACTTAACATGTAACACAGCGTTAGCCAGGCGTCGCAGTTCAAAGCTTTATAAAAGGATTATTTACCTAAAACTGATTTTAGTATTTTATTCGTTAATTAGTCCATTGTTAATAGGATCCCCAAAAAGTGTGCATGTCAGCAGTAAAGTTTTTTTAATATAGAGCACTTTCAGTAAAAATATAAACAGTGTGATGATGCGTTTTTAAAAACGTTGTGTCTCTTCTTTCAGAATGTTCTTTTGGCCGTAACAAAATGAAAATGTATATATATATATATATATTTTTTTTAATCCTAATGTCTGTCTGTCATTCTTAGAGGTGCATTCAGTAGAAATGTTTTTGTCTTTTGTGTAGGAATATACATCATGGTGAGTAGCTTAAACTGTTGCTCCTTGAAAGTGAATGTAAGCATCCCTGTATGGGGGCATAATGGCTTTTCTCATGAGTGAGTGGTTGCTATAGTAACTATTATTTACATTATGGATTTTTATGTCTCAGGTGCCCGGCCAGCGCACAACGCCTGCTTTCAAGACGTCAACGCAGCAGGGAACGCGTTTGGAAACTGTGGGAAGGACAGACAGGGAAACTACATGAAGTGCCAGAAAAGGTAAGTGGGAACATGTTATAAACCTTCATAACGCGGCATAGCAGTTCCAATTCAACTACAATCTAATCTAACTATCTAACTACATTGCCTGTTCATAGTTGTAAAGTGTTGAGACACTATAGCATGGACCAGGGGAGGCCAAACCATAATTCTGTGGGTCCTGGAGTGAAGTCAGTTCTGTTAGTGTTGGTCTGGAACAAAAGCCTGCACACACTTCAGCCATCCAGGGCCATCCATGATCTGCTATATAACTTATATAACTTATGAACAACTCCTGTCCTTAACCATAACACACTACTACACAGTCTGACATGCAGTGGTTTTCCTAGCTGCCCACGAGTCCTTTAAAAAGGCGAGCACCGTCCTCGTCTTGAACTTGATAGTTTATCCATGTACAGTAACTCACACAAGCCACGCCACGCCGCGCCGCGGCCCTCTGTGAACTGTAAAGTGCAGCAGCGTGTCTCAGAGACCGTTTTCATGTCGCCGCGCCAGAGCTAATTAATGGATCCAAATTAGCATTTTAGCTATGCAAATTAGGCCTCAGATGAAGGCATTCAAAGTCAGCCTTGTGTCCGCATAATACGCCACAGCCCAACTGAATTAGAGAGAATCCCATAAGCGACATGGAGACGTTACAATGTTTGCTGGCCAGCCGTCAGTCAAGGAGATCTTGGGGTACGCTAGGCCCTCTACCAATTAGGACGTTTTAGATATAAGCTACGAGTCGTTTACTTTCACAAGCCGTTAATCTTCTTCTTGTCTTTGTTTCCCCGTGGATGCTTTGTTGTCTGTCTGTCTGTCTGTCCTTCCATCCGCCGTCCATCTGTCTGTCTCTCGTGTGTGTCCGTCATTCATTCATGTGCACTGTGTGTCCGCCCCCCCAGCGATGCCAAATGTGGGAAGATCCAGTGCCACAGCGCGGCCAAGAAGCCCAAGGGCACCAACGCAGTGTCCATAGACACCACCATCCGTACGGACGGCATGGAGGTGAAGTGCAGGGGGACGTACGTCTACACCACCCAGGATGGACAGGGGGACCTCCCGGACCCAGGTCTCGTCATGACCGGAACCAAGTGTGGAGAGGGGAAGGCTAGTAGTGGTTGCAGTCTAATACAAATCTACTTTTATCTGTACCATAGACAGTACTGTAAAATGTATCATAGACTGTACTGTAAAATGTATCATAGACAGTACTGTAAAATGTATCATAGACTGTACTGTAATATTTATCATAGACAGTACTGTAAAATGTATCATAGACTGTACTGTAAAATGTATCATAGACAGTACTGTAAAATGTATCATAGACAGTACTGTAAAATGTATCATAGACAGTACTGTAAACTTGTTCTATGTTATTATTTCAGCTTGTATTATTATGTTAGTATTGATTATATTAGTATTATTATATTTGTATTGATTGGGTGTCTACTAGTGATGTAATGAATTTCTCTACCTCATCCAAAACCTGTAAGCTTTACTCAATTGTGATTCATACTATATACCGTAATAATCTTAAATGTGTACATACATTACATTTGTAGACAGGCAGGCACCCACTGAGTTACCACACCGAGCCAAAACACTGCGGCACGACCCTGCGCCCACACTGCCTCACACACCTTCTACAACAGTGTTCCTCAGTGTGTGTGTGAAATCTAAACATTGTTTGTGTTACTGCAGGTTTGCAGGGACCGCCGGTGCCAAAATGCCTCCTTCACCGAGCTGGAGAGCTGCATCACACGTTGCCATGGCCATGGGGTAAGCACTAGGCCACAGACACACAGACACACAGACACACAGACACACAGACACACAGACACACACACAGACAGACACACACAGACACACACAGACACACAGACACAGACACAGACACAGACAGACACACAGACAGACACACAGACACACAGACACACACAGACACACAGACACATACACACAGACACAGACACAGACACACAGACACAGACACACATACACACATACACACTAACACACAGACACAGACACAGACACACAGACACATACACAGACACACAGACACAGACACACAGACACAGACACACAGACACAGACACAGACACACACACACAGACACACATACACAGACACACAGACACAGACGCATACACAGACACACATACACACATACACACATACACACAGACACAGACACACAGACACATACACAGACACAGACACACAGACACAGACACACAGACACTTTTCCCCATCCCTGTAATCTTATTGTTACACATCGTCCTTGGGGCGAAGGCAGACGGCTGTCACTATAGCTCTTGTAAAACAGGAGAAATGGATGGTAGCAACACAACACCTGAAGCCATAAACTATTTGTTGGTTAAGTACTGTGTAGCCACAAGGAGAGATGGCAGATCACATCTTTGTTTATGAGACAATAAACATTGTGTTGCATTGTGTACGATTTTAACCACCTGTCCCTATAGGAATCTAGGCCTAACTTTGTTTTCATTGTCATGACTCCCATATATCACTGTCAGCTGTTTAGTGGCGTGCCGCTTTTCGGCACCAGAGACATAAACAGACTTAATTTCACACCCCAACGTTTCGTTCTTAAAACGGGCCCTCCAGGTCGGCCATCTTAGAAGCGGAAAACTGTTGACTCTCAGTAAGCGAGAGGGCTTCTATTAGCGAGGCGCTGGCATTCTATAATGTTTTCAATCTCCTCAACCAACAGCTTCCTGAGCCCTAGAGACAAACAGAACACGCTCTCATTCTTTAATCATCTCCTTCTCTTGTTCTGTCAGTCGTTCTCTATCTTTCTCTCACTCTCTCTGCCCTGTTTAAAAAGTCTTCATTTGTCCTGTTTTGCTTACTCCCTCGCTCTGAAAGGCCAGCAAATGGAAATAGTTCTGAGGAGGGATTATTTAAAACATTGTTTTCCCCCTCTCTTCTCTTTTGTGACTTTTTCATTTGCATTATCATTTGGGTTCCTATTGATCCCCGGGCTTAAAGAGAGCAGCGCGAATGGAGAAAGAAAAGCGACTAGCATCTGTAGCTTTGCTAGCGTACAAACGAAGAAGCAGCTTCACTGCATCACTGCATCTACTGTATCATCTTGGCTCTGCAGCTTCACTGCATCTATCATCTTGGCTCTGCAGCTTCACTGCATCTATCATCGTGACTCTTGGTTTCTTCTTTGGGTTTGAGAAGCATGAAAAATATTCACAAAACAACTTCAGAGGGTCACAAGAGCTGTCAGAATTATTGAGAGACTAAAAAGGGAACTTTTTTTGTAAAAACACTTGGAGACCCAAAAAATATTTGGCTGGCCTTCATGATGGCTAACATGTATTTTAATGACGCATTCAGAAGGAGTCAACAAGCATGTTTCTAATCAGTGATATGATAATTGTATTGGTGTAGTTAAGGCATGGAAAGTATTTTTCTACATAATTTAGCAGCAGGAAATACTGTATGATGCAGAATGTCTGGCGATAGTAATCAAGTGGAAAATGTTATTCTTCAGAAAGGGTTTTGATATGAGTATCAAACAAGTGGATTTGCAACGCCAAGGTCTTTGATTGCCAAACTCGGCACAAAGAACTATAACACTTTCATTCAAAGTTCGTTCAACACCCAATGTCATAGAGTTTGGTTCAGTATTCAAAGTCAGAGTTTGTTTCAACGTTCAAATCGTGCAGTTATTTCAATATTCAAAGTCATTCAGTTTAACATTCAAAGTCATTCAGTTTGTTCAGTTCAGCATTCAAAACGATACAGTTAGTTTAAGTGTTTAGCACCAGACAGCAGAATCTCAGTGAGACTTCACAGAGAAAGAAAGTCTTGTCGGTTTCAAACACCTCCTGTAGTAAACAAAAACGTAGCATGCTGAATTCACTTGCCACTTCTCCAGACACGTACTGTAAGGTCATCACGGTAACACTGTGTGTGTGTGTGTGTGTGTGTGGTGTGTGTGTGTGTGTGTGGTGTGTGTGTGTGTGTGTGTGTGTGTGGTGTGTGTGTGTGTGGTGTGTGGTGTGGTGTGTGTGGTGGTGGTGTGTGTGTGTGTGTGTGTGTGTGTGTGTGTGTGTCCCCCCCCTTTTTTAAAAACGGAAACAGGAACCCCTTGATTTTTTGATTTAAAGTTTCCCACCGTTCTTTTTTTTAAGGGGTCGGTTTTTGTTTTTAAAAAGGGGTTTCAAAATGGGTGGGTTTTTTCCCCGGTACCCAGGTCGGGGGGTTTTGTGGTGTCCGTTTTCTTGGTTTTCCTAGGGATCCCAAATTTTTAATGTTGACCAAGAGTCCCCAAAGGGCCCCCAGAGAAAAAACCCCCCAAGCAAGGTTTTAAATTTCCCCCCATGGTTAATAAAGATTAAACCCCTTTCAAGGTTTGGGGGAAAACTTCAAAGTTGTATAAAAAAATCCCCAAAAAGGGGTTTTTGGGGGTTGAACCTAGAAAATTTTTCCAAACCAAACCCCCGGGTGTGGGTTTGTAGCTAAGAGATACACCAGGATGTTGGGGGTTTGTAGCAAAAAAAACCCCGGATTTGGGGGTTTTTGGGGGCCCCCCAAGGGGGTGGGGGGTTTGAGTGGAGTTGGGGGGAGAAAAAAAAGGTTTTTTGGTTTTTGGAAAAGGGCCCCTTTTTTGGGGGTTTTGGGGAAAAACCAAGGTGGGGGGTTTGTAGTAGAGAATAACCCGGATCGGAGGGTTTTGGGGGGAAAAAAACCCGGTGCGGGGTTTTTTACTAGAGAAAAACACCGGGATGCTGGTGGGTTTTGAAAGAGAGAAAACCCCCGGTCGGAGGGTTGTAGTAGAGAGATAACCCCGTGTGTGGTTTGTAAAGAGAAACCCCCCGGATGCGGAGGGGTTTTTTAAGAATCCCGGGGTTGGATGGGTTTGTAGCTAAGAAAAAAAGGGTTTGGAGGGGTTTTGTAAAAAAAAAAAAAAAAAAAAAAACACCAGAGTGGGGGTTTTAAAAAAACCCCACAGGGTTGTAGATAGAGATCAACAAGCAGTTCTAACGGATATGTTGTATTGGTGTATTAAGGCTGGAATAGTATTTTCTAAAATTTACACGCAGGAAATACTGTATGATGCAGAAGTTCTGGCTAGTAACAAGGGAAATGTTTTCTTCAGAAAGGGTTTTGTATGAGTATCAAACACGGTGGATTTGCAAAGCCACAGGTCTTTGTTGCCAAACTCCGGCACAAACCAGAACTATACACTTTCTTCAAAGTTCGTCAACACCCAATGTCATAGAGTTTGTTCAGTATCAAGTCAGAGTTTGTTTCAACGTTCAAATCGTGCGTTTTTTCATATTCAAGTCATTCAGTTTAACATCAAGTCATTCAGTTTGTTTCAGTCAGATTCAAAACGATACAGTTGTTTAAGTGTTTAGCAACACCAGACAGCAGAATTCACGTTGAGCTTTCTACAGAGAGAAAACAGTCTGTCGGTTGCAAACACCTCCTGGTAGCTAAAACAACAACGTGCATGTGAATTCACTTGCCACTTCTCCAGACACGTACTGGTAGGTCATCACGGTAAAACACCGTGTGTGGTGGTTGTGTGTTGGTGTCGTGTGTGTGTGGTGTGTGTGTGGTGTGTGTGTGTGTGTGTGTGGGTGTGTGTGGTGTGGTGTGTGTGTGTTATCCACAGGTGTGCAACAGCAATGGTAACTGCCACTGTAAACCGGGGGTGGGCACCTCCTTCTGTGAGAAGCTTGGTCTGGGGGGGCAGCGTGGACAGTGGGCCTATCCAGTACCACAGTGAGTTGACCTTCACACACACACACACACACACACACACACGCTCCTTCCTTTCCTTCACGACTCCCCCCCTATCAACCTTCACACACCATCTGAATGTAACATTGGCACAGCCTTGATGTTTCATTGCCCAGTTGAAGCATTCTTCCACCAGTTCTAAATCTATTTTTTAAGAGGTCATTTGGTCACTTATCAGATGCTTCTAGAAAGGTTTCTATAGAAGTGAGTAACGTTATTTTCCCTCTATGTGTACTCCAGGTCAGCTGGGCTTGGTGGTAGCTCTTCTGTTTGTCTTCCTGGTTCTCCTACCTGGGATCCTCATCACCTTCTACTGCTATTAAGCTAAGAGCTCTACTACGGAGCGAAGGGTTCGTCCAGAGAGCAAGACAACACAGGGCTAGGTAACTAGAAACAGTCGCTGGCCGCGCCTCTATAAGGCTTAATGAAGACTTCATAAACCCTTTCATAAGCCCTTCATGAGGTCCAACCATGGAATGCTTACTAAAGCTTGTATAAAAAATGTGCACTACAGATAAAGGAGTGGTTTGGTTTGACAATGGATTGAAACTCGAGACTGAGTCTATTACTCAGAGACCGATAACACCAGGATGATGGATGGGTTTGTAGCTAGAGATATAACACCAGGATGTTGGATGGGTTTGTAGCTAGAGAGATAACACCAGGATGTTGGATGGGTTTGTAGCTAGAGAGATAACACCAGGATGTTGGATGGGTTTGTAGCTAGAGAGATAACACCCGGATGCTGGATGGGTTTGTAGCTAGAGAGATAACACCAGGATGCTGGATGGGTTTGTAGCTAGAGAGATACACCCGGATGCTGGATGGGTAGGTTAGGCTAGAGAGATAACAAACAGGATGCTGTAGGGTTTGTAGCTTAGAGAGATAACACCAGGATGTGGATGGGTTTGTAGCTAGAGAGATAACACCGGATGCTGGATGGGTTTGAGCTAGAGAGATAACACCAGGATGGGATGCCTGGATGGATGGGTTTGTTAGTAGAGAGGATTAACACCCGGATTGATGGATGGGTTGTAGCTAGAGAGAAACACCAGGATGCTGTATGGGTTGTAGCAGAGAGATAAAAAAACACAAGGATGCTGGATGGGTTTTGTAGCTAGAGAGATAACACCAGGAGCTGGATGGTTTGTAGCTAGAGAGATAACACAAGGATGTTGGATGGTTTGGTAGAGAGAGAGAGAACACCAGGATGCTGGAGGTGTTTGTAGCTAGAGAGATAACCCAGGATGATGGAGGGTTTGTAGCTAGAGGATAACCACCCGGATGCTGGATGGGTTTGATAGCTAGAGAGATAACACCGGATGCTGGATGTGTTTGTAGCTAGAGAGATAACATCAGGATGTTGGATGGGTTTGTGGCTAGAGAGATAACACCCGGATGCTGGATGGGTTTGTAGCTAGAGAGATAACACCAGGATGCTGGATGGGTTTGTAGCTAGAGAGATAACACCCGGATGCTGGATGGGTTTGTAGCTAGAGAGATAACACCAGGATGCTGGATGGGTTTGTAGCTAGAGAGATAACACCCGGATGCTGGATGGGTTTGTAGCTAGAGAGATAACACCAGGATGCTGGATGGGTTTGTAGCTAGAGAGATAACACCAGGATGTTGGATGGGTTTGTAGCTAGAGAGATAACACCCGGATGCTGGATGGGTTTGTAGCTAGAGAGATAACACCAGGATGCTGGATGGGTTTGTAGCTAGAGATATAACACCCGGATGCTGGATGAGTTTGTAGCTAGAGAGATAACACCCGGATGCTGGATGGGTTTGTAGCTAGAGAGATAACACCAGGATGTTGGATGGGTTTGTAGCTAGAGAGATAACACCCGGATGCTGGATGGGTTTGTAGCTAGAGAGATAACACCAGGATGCTGGATGGGTTTGTAGCTAGAGAGATAACACCAGGATGCTGGATGGGTTTGTAGCTAGAGAGATAACACCAGGATGTTGGATGGGTTTGTAGCTAGAGAGATAACACCCGGATGCTGGATGGGTTTGTAGCTAGAGAGATAACACCAGGATGCTGGATGGGTTTGTAGCTAGAGAGATAACACCAGGATGCTGGATGGGTTTGTAGCTAGAGAGATAACACCAGGATGTTGGATGGGTTTGTAGCTAGAGAGATAACACCAGGATGCTGGATGGGTTTGTAGCTAGAGAGATAACACCAGGATGCTGGATGGGTTTGTAGCTGTGACTTACTACTACTGCACACACGTCATCCTCTGACTGCAATCTGCCCACTCTTCACTTTCTGCACCATCACAACACTTTTATAGGGGTAAACAAATGTACTGTACTCTCATAAAATCTACTACCTTCCCCTCTCCTCCAGTAGAAGACCGATATACCTGTACACACAAAGACCGGGCATCAGAACGCTGAGTGAGTTAGTGCCTCTGAAAACAGGCCTGTCGGACAGTGTAGTTTACGGGATATGGATCAGCCTGGTTGTTGGATGAAGTCCAGACTGAGAGAGGGAGGTATTCTGCCGTGGTGCCCCTGAAAATAAAGCTCTGTTGACCTTCTGAATGGACAGAGAAAAATAGGTTAATCATTGGTATTGGACTGGAAAAGGGGTCTAATTAAATTAAACAGAGGCGGGACAAAGGAGTCTTCTGAAGGAATATTTAACCCTACAGAATATGACACTTCTTGTTAGATGATTAAAAGGCTCTTTAGCGGAGACCAGCTGCAGTGGGTTTCTTCTTTTTAGTTTCGGAGCCAATAGTTTGGGTTCGTTTACAGTTCAGTAACGGGATACTGTGTATGGTTGATTAGGGAGGATTCTGTGTATGGTTGATTAGGGAGGATACTGTGTGTGGTTGATTAGGGAGGATACTGTGTGTGGTTGATTAGGGAGGATACTGTGTATTGTTGATTAGGGAGGATACTGTGTGTGGTTGATTAGGGAGGATACTGTGTATTGATGTATTTTAGTGTGTATGTGTGTGCTCCTTGACCTGCTCCTCCACCTCCTCCTCGACCTTCTCCTCCACCTGCTCCTCCACCTCCTCCTCCACCTCCTCCTCCACCTCCTCCTCGACCTTCTCCTCCACCTCCTCCTCCACCTCCTCCACCTCCTCCTCGACCTGCTCCTCAACCTCGACCTGCTCCTCGACCTCCTCCTTGACCTCCTCCTTGACCTGCTCCTCGAACTGCTCCTCAACCTCCTCCTCCTCCTCCACCTCCTCCTCCACCTCCTCCTCGACCTGCTCCTCAACTTCCTCCTCGACCTGCTCCTTGACCTCCTCCTCGACCTCCTCCTCAACCTGCTCCTCGACCTGCTCCTCGACCTCCTCCTCCTCGCATCAAACTCCTTGAGAATGCTTGATGGGGACACAAACTGTGACATCTGGGGCACACAAAGACACACAGACACAGACACACAGACACAGACACAGACAGCGTAATGTTTGCCCAATCCCCCACAACTGGTGACTATCAAATCAGTAGAACAAAGGATTGAAAAGCCAGCACAGCCTTCAGAATAAATCTGTCTAGTCGATGGCCTTCTAACACCCCTGTGACATAAAGTCCTTCATTTCCTTTCTTCATCCTCCGTATTCCCACAGACTTGAAGGCTCCATGGAGAAGGGTAAGAATGGACACCTCAACCCGGCGTTTCATCTGAAGGTGGTGGGTCCAGCGAACAAAGGAAACAGTCACAAGGGGGTGAGTGTCAAAGGAGAGGGGAGTTAAATCTGATTTGACTTCCGTCTCTCTGTACGCTGGCAATGTTTCTCTCCGTGTTTCTGTGAAGAACTAAAGACATTCAACTAAAAGGCAAGCTGGTTAAATTGCCATATTTACAACTGTGGCTCTGCGTGTCAATGTTCTGTCTTAGCAACTGTCACAATCTGCCTCCAATTTAGTCTTTTTTATTTTTTTTCAACAAATACTTCATATAAAACTTTAATGTCATAATCCAAAAAAAAGTTCTTAACAAAAAAAAAAAAGGTTCTAACCCTTGTCTTTTCTCTCCCTACAGCTCCCTCACACCAGCAAAGAGGTTCTACCTCTCCGGCCAGGCCCCGCCCCTAACGGCACTCAGCCAGTCAACATCTTGCGTCCCCTAAGGCCCGCCCCCTCGCCTCACAACACACCGCGGGGCTTCAAGGTGGTCCACCCACCTTTACTTGTCAAGTCCACCGGGGCCCCGCCAAAATCCCCCGCCCCCCCCTCAAAACCTTACGCCACCCAAGAAACCGCTTCCCCTCAACCCAACACGATCACCACTGGTATCCAACCCAACACGATCACCACTGGTATCCAACCCAACACGATCACCACTGGTATCCAACCCAACACGATCACCACTGGTATCCAACCCAACACGATCACCACTGGTATCCAACCCAACACGATCACCACTGGTATCCAACCCAACACGATCACCACTGGTAAGTTTGTCTTTTTTTCACTCTAATTTTTATTGTCTGTTTTAAAGACCATCCAGCGTCTGTTGTTTTTACTAAGACGATTTTGTTGGACAGAGGAACTAGATGAAATAGCAACGTTTTTGTTTTAATCTTCTTATTGTTTTCCATTGATTTCCTCAACATTTTCCAATATTTGCCTATAAGCTGTAAAAAGCCTTCGAAAATCGTATTTGGCCTTGAATTTAATATTGCTCTGTGTTTGTGCGAAATGAATGTCTCTGCAGTTGTTTTTTGATAAACATGTAAGAGCGGAGGTAGAGGTACACTGTAATGAAATAACACACCATGAATTCAGACAAAGCCTGCCAACCACCGGATTAAAAACAGCTTGAGTTGTTTTATAAAATCCTGCTCTATTCCTGGTATCATTTGGAGTGTATTAGGAGTGTGTGATATGGTGAAGTGCTTTGTTCTGGCGCTGATCATGTTCTAAGGTCTACTGTTTCTCCCTCTCTCTCCTCTTTTGCCTGTTTCTCTCTTCTCCTTTAAATTTCTCTCACTTGTTATCTCACCTTTTCTCTCTCTCTCTCTCTCTCTCTCTCTCTCTCTCTCTAGCCTCTCTCTCTCATCTCTCTTCTCTCACTCTCTCTCTCCAGCGCTCATCTCCTCTCTCGCGATCCTTCTACTCTCTCGTTCGCTCTATCTCTCCTCTCTCTCTCTCTCTCTCTCTCTCTCTCTCTCGTCTCTCTCTCTCTCTTCTCGTTGTCGGAGCTGCAGCCCCACTCTCCTCCCCCTCTCTCTCTCGAGGCCCCTCCCCCTCAGCCCCGCCCGAGGGGGAGTGTTACCCATGAGCCCAGCGAGGGCGGTTCCTCCCAAACCCTCCAATGGGCTGCTGGTGATGATGCCCCCTGCCGTCGGCCCAAAACCAGTGGGCAAGCTGTCTTTCGTCCCTCCTCTCAAAGCACTCAGGTGGGTCCAGATATACGCAGGCAGGCGAGCAGGCAGACAGACAGGCAGGCAGGCAGGCAGGCAGGCAGACAGGCAGGCAGACAGGCAAGCAGACAGGCAGGCAGGCAGGCAAGCAGGCAGGCAGGCAGGCAGACAGACAGACAGACAGACAGGCAGGCACAGGCAGGCAGGCAGGCAGGCAGGCAGGCACTATGTGATGTTGGTATGGCCATAGGTATACTGCAAAAGCAAGGATTATCTTACTTACCTCAGGGATTCTTGAAAGTTGTGACCATCCTTGTCTAGCAGGGAAATTTGATTTTTATAGTTGAATTAAAAAAAAAAAAAACATTATTTGAGCTTAAAAATTACATTTAGGGAAATGTTATAAGGGAAAATATTTGTTTTTGTAATTTTCAATATTATTAATTTTCCATATCGGCTCCATGCCAGGAAATGCGCTTGACCAGAGCAAAGAATCACAATTTCAAAATCCCCCCACAAAGTGTTTAAAATTCTAAAAGCTGGCAAAAATAAATATTAACTGATAAATTATCTAATGTAGTTTCTTGCAAAAGCCTTCTCTGACTCTAATATTTCTCTTAAAACTGTGAGTTTTAGTCAACTCCGTCAGATTTGTCTAAAAGTCATCAGGAATGAGCAGGGTCAGCTTTACCAAAAGGACCCCTTATTCATGTCGTCATCACGTTGTACAACAAGACAATGCATGGTTCCGAAAGTCCTCTACGTTTGATAGATTTAAACAAACAATATTGAAGTTACCATGGTTACAACCATAACCTGTAAACTCCATCTCCCTGATAGATTAAGATAAAATATGAGTTATTGTTCAAATATGTTCATTTTAATTAGGTTTCAGGTTCATAAAGCAACTGAGGCTAAATTGCTACTGAGTATACTACTTAAAGTAGATTTTTCTTGTGCAATTTGTCAACTCTATAAAACATCAACTTTGTCAGATATTTGTCTAACGTCAACTCCGTCAGAGTGCTGAACGATCTGATGGAATGGTTATGTTTTTAATGGGGATTTTCAAATGAATCATTTTTCATATTTTACTAAATGTTTGCATTGAACTTTTATTTTTAGAAGCAAAAACATGTACGTTTTGAGTATCTGTTGTCAACTCTGACAGTGGCTCGTTAACTCCATCACTGATGGCTAACCCCCCTTAAGATCTATTTTTTTGTCAATATTGTGAAAACATGTTTTAATCACTGTTCTGCAACAATACAGTATGCTTAAACTATTTAAGTATATGCTGTTCTAGACTTGTTCACTTTATAAATGTTATTATACGTTCTTTTCTAGAAAAACTGGCCAAATTTTTTCTTTAAATTAGCCCTGAAGCATTACATATTTGAATAATCTAATGTTAGAATGAAACAGCCAAGGCCTTTAAACACTTGTTGGACAATACATGTAAAAATGAAATGCCTTTTATGGTGTCAAACAGATTTGACAGAAATCCAGTTAGTTGCATTTTATGAAAAACCATTTTTTTTATTAATAATTAGGAGGTTGTTCCTTTACATGGTGTGATGGCAAATACAATGGACTATCAAAATATGTATTTCAAATTGTGTTAATATAAGGTAAATTATTGGTGATTTTTTGGGGGGGATTGTCCCGTCTTTCAAGAATCACTGAGCTACATATATATGGAAATTAGCCTATTTCATGCATCACTGTGACTCACATTTCAAACTGTATTCTTCTCATTTATAACCCATTACAGAGACTGCCGGCTTTGTGGTTAATAGCTATGCTTCACCGTGAGCAGTGCCATAAATTATAATAAATATACTTTGTTTTTAGCTCCAAATAATTGTCCAATGTTCCTGCCTTGGCATCAAATTGACCTAATATTAGTCTCCCTGATGAAATCTAAAATAGCCACTCCAAGAAGTCGTTGCTCATAAATAAGCCATTGTTAACATTGTTGTTATTTCAACGTGCTTCTTCCAACAGGTCTCCAACAATCCCCCCTTTAATGGCCATTTTATTATTTCCCATAATAATAACAACAGGGCTGTATCGTTGAAACATATTTCCTCCCCTGATTCCTGTATCTCTCCATCTCACACTGTTTTCAACTCCGGCAGCAAAGCTGTCATAGCGAGGGGGTGAGCCAGTGTGTTTGTGTGTGTGTGTGTGTGTGTGTGTGTGTGTGTGTGTGTGTGTGTGTGTGTGTGTATACTCACTCTCCTGGAGCTTTAGACCCAGGAAGATAAGTACCTACCGCAGGTAGAAGTTCATAAGCCACAGCTCACATTGTCAAAGACAGATCTCTCTCGGCTTTCACCCGTTTTGTCAAACAATCAATTCTCACCTTATTTCGCTGTTATGCTCGGAATCTGACACGCGGCAAGATGAGGTCTGCACTCTATTTCTTTGAGAAGCAAAGAAGGCGACTAGCCGAACACTTTTGTAGTCTTTTTTTATCTGCTGTGTTTAGAGTGATAGCTGTTGGGATTTATGAGTTGTTCTATGTTTTTAAATGGAGATTTTCAAATGAATCATTTTTCATATTTTACAAAATGTTTGCATTGAACTTTTATTTTTAGAAGCATAAACATGTACGTTTTGAGTATCTGTTGTCAACTCTGTCGGCCTGAAGACTGGGCGTGTAAGACAAACGTCTGTCTCAACATCACCCTGTCCTCGTTTCACTGGAAACTCTGTACCAAACACTCTACCAGCCACAACACACCAAGCCTCTGTCGGCTCTGTGTTAAAAGATGTTTCTTTCTTTTTCTTCCTGTGTTTTTCTTTCCTCCTCTCAGACCGGTCCCAGGAGCGAAACCAAACACAGTCTCCTCGCCATTCAGAAAATGACCCTGGGAGCCGAGCTGAGCCTAGCCCAGAGGAGCCTATCAGGAGCCAGAAGTCAGTCAGCAGCAGTCAGCCTATTTGCACTACAGCGATCTTGTTGGAGGGCTGGTACAAGACAGGTGTTGTCCAACATTAATAGCTAGGGGGCAGGGCAGAGGCTGATGGAGGGGGGAGGAGAGGGGGGGGGGGAAGGGGAGGGGGAGGAGAGGGAAGGAAGGACGGACGGGAGGGGGAAGAGTGGAGGGGTAGAGGAGGGGGAGGAGGAAGGGGGCGGGAGGGAGAAGAGGAAGGAAGAGGAGGGAGGAGGGGGAGAGGGAGGGAGGAGGGAGGAGGAGGATCGAGGGGGGGAGGGATTTGCCGAGAGGGGGGGGGCAGAGAGGGGGGCGGAGGGAGAGGAGGGGGCGAGGGGCGGGGGGGGGAGGAGGGGCGAGGAGGGGCGGGGAAGGGAGGGAGGAAGAGGAGGGGGGGAGGGAGGGGGAGGAGGGGGAGCGGGGAGGAGGGGGGGGGGAGGGGGAGGGAAGAGGAGGGGAGTATGGAAAGGAAGAGGAGGGGGAGGGATGAGGAGGGGGAGGAGGAGAGAGGAGGGGGAGGATGGAAGAGGACAGGGGGGAGAGGGAGAGGAGGGGGGAGGAGGAAGAGGAGGGGCGGGAGAGGAGAGAGGGGGAGGAGAGGGAGAGGATGGGGAGAGGGAGAGGAGAAGGAGAGGAGGGGGAGGAGGGAAGATGAGGGGGGAGGAAGAGGAGGAGTGGGAGGAAGAGGAGGAGGGGGAGGAAGAGGAGGGAAGAAAGAGGAGGGGGTAGGAAGAGGATGGGAGGAAGAGGAGGGGGAGGAAGAGGAGGGGGTAGGGGGGTACTGAAGTGAACATGGAGGGTCCTGTCGTCTAACTTGAAAATCGTGACTTTTATGACCTCACCCAAATGGCAACGTGACAATGACAAAGATGACGACGCGGTTTTGCACGGATGGAAAAAAAAAACATGCAGACTTAGATGTGCTATTGCTGGGGGTGGTCACATTGCCAAAACCTTGTTTGTTTGTGTTGTCAATCCGTTTACGCACCCCGTGTATAGCGCTAGCTAGCATTTTCTAATTATGGTTGTGTACTTGTCCGTTTACGTTTCGGTTTTTTTAACGGTTTGTGTTATGTGCCAAAGAGGACTTTTGAGGCATGTTGATCATCGCAATTTGATTTTAATGTCTCATGCTGTGTGTATAATTTTCTTACATTAAAAAAACTCACCTTTTTTACAAAAACTGGCTTCTTCTTTTTCTTCGTCCGTGTTTTTTAAGGTTGAGATCTACATTATATTTTTCATACTTTTCTCCCATCCATATTTATAAAAAACAGTCAAGTCATGGCCGGGACAGCTGAAGATGTGAGACTTGGCACTCAAAAGGCATCAACCTTTCCTCAGCTTTGACTTAGTATTCAACACAGACAAGTTATGACACATGCACATACACACCTGTACCCGTCACACAATCCTCAGTGACTTACCCAAGGCTGTAGTATTTTCTAAAGTACAGTATCACATCTTTAATCAATAGATTGTTGGCCTAATTTCCAATACCCAAAAGAGACATTCTGTCATTTAAAAAGGGGGAAATTGTCATTGCAAGCTCAGGTTTAGAAAAGCATGAATCATAGGAAGCAAAAACTTTTTATTTCATTATAATTGAAGGAGTTCAGAGGAAACAAAATGCAATAAAATCCTGTTAAATATTAAAGTGTATTAGACAACCTTGAATTCCAAGGTCTCCCACTCCACTACTGAGAAAAGACAGGCGGATTTTCTCAGCCAGTCGAAATCATGAATCAGCATAATTTTAATGGATATACACTACCGTTCAAAAGTTTGGGGTCACTTAGAAATGTCCTAGTTTTCGAAAGAAAGGAATTTTTTTGTCCATTAAAATAACATCAAATTGATCAGAAATACAGTGTAGAAATTGTTAATGTTGTAAATGGCTATTGTAGCTGGAAACGGCTGATTTTTAATGGGATATCTACATAGGTGTACAGAGGCCCATTATCAGCAACCATCAGTCCTGTGTTCCAATGGCACGTTGTGTTTGCTAATCCAAGTTTATCATTTTAAATGACTAATTGATCATTAGAAAACCCTTTTGCAATTATGTTAGCACAGCTGAAAACTGTTGTGCTGATTAAAGAAGCAATAAAACTGGCCTTCTTGAGACTAGTTGAGTATCTGGAGCATCAGCAATTGTGGGTTCGATTACAGGATCAGCATGGCCAGAAACAAATAACTTTCTTCTGAAACTTGTCAGTCTATTCTTGTTCTGAGAAATGAAGGCTATTCCTTGCGAGAAATTGCCAAGAAACTGAAGATCTCATACAACGCTGTGTACTACTCCCTTCACAGAACAGCGCAAACTGGCTCTAACCAGAATAGAAAGAGGAGTGGGAGGCCCCGGTGCACAACTGAGCAAGAGGACAAATATATTTGAGTGTCTAGTTTGAGAAACAGACGCCTCACAGGTCCTCAACTGGCAGCTTCATTAAACAGTACCCGCAAAACACCAGTCTCAAGGTCAACAGTGAAGAGGCGACTCCGGGATATTGACCTTCTAGGCAGAGTTGCAAAGAAAAAGCCATATATCAGACTGGCCAATAAAAATAAAAGATTATGATGGGCAGTCTGAGATGTGGCTTTTTTCTCTGAAGTGAAATGAAAGAAATTCTACAAAATAAATAACGGAAAAGTGGTGTGTGCATATGTGTACACCCCCTTTGCTATGAAGCCCCTAAATAAGATATGGTGAAACCAATTACCTTCAGAAGTCACATAATTAGTTAAATAAAGTCCACCTGTGTGCAATCTAAGTGTCACATGATCTCAGTATATATACACCTGTTCTGAAAGGTCCCAGAGTCTGCAACACCACTAAGCAAGGGGCACCACCAAGCAAGCGGCACCATGAAGACCAAGGAGCTCTCCAAACAGGTCAGGGACAAAGTTGTGGAGAAGTAGAGATCAGGGTTGGGTTATAAAAAAATATCAAAAACTTTGAACATCCCACGGAGCACCATTAAATCCAATATTAAAAAATTGAAAGAATATGGCACCACAACAAACCTGCCAAGAGATGGCCGCCCACTAAAACTCACGGACCAGGCAAGGAGGGCATTAATCAGAGAGGCAACAAAGTGGAGATTGGAGTATCTGTCCATAGGACCACTTTAAGCCGTACACTCCACAGAGCTGGGCTTTACGGAAGAGTGGCCAGAAAAAAGACATTGCTTAAAGAAAAAAATAAGCAAACACGTTTGGTGTTCGCCAAAAGGCATGTGGGAGACTCCCCAAACATATGGAAGAAGGTACTCTGGTCAGATGAGACTAAAATTTAGCTTTTTGGCCATCAAGGAAAATGTCTGGCGCAAACCCAACACCTCTCATCACCCCGAGAACACCATCCCCACAGTGAAGCATGGTGGTATAGCATCATGCTGTGGGGATGTTTTTCATCGGCAAGGACTGGGAAACTGGTCAGAATTGAAGGAATGATGAATGGCGCTAAATACAGGGAAATTCTTGAGTGAAACCTGTTTCCAACAGGACAATGACCCTAAGCATACTGCTAAAGCAACATTCGAGTGGTTTAAGGGGAAACATTTAAATGTCTTGGAATGGCCTAGTCAAAGCCCAGACCTCAATCCAATTGAGAATCTGTGGTATGACTTAAAGATTGCTGTACACCAGCGGAACCCATCCAACTTGAAGGAGCTGGAGCAGTTTTGCCTTGAAGAATGGGCAAAAATCCCAGTGGCTCGATGTGCCAAGCTTATAGAGACATACCCCAAGATACTTGCAGCTGTAATTGCTGCAAAAGGTGGCTCTACAAAGTATTGACTTTGGGGGGGTGAATAGTTATGCACTCTCACGTTTTCTGTTTTTTTGTCTTATTTCTTGTTTGTTTCACAAGCAAAAATATTTTGCATCTTCAAAGTGGTAGGCATGTTGTGTAAATCAAATGATAAAAAACCCATTTTAATTCCAGGTTGTAAGGCAACAAAATAGGAAAAATGCCAAGGGGGGTGAATACTTTCACAAACCACTGTATAAACAGGGAGTACCATTTACATTTACATCATTTAGCAGACGCTCTTATCCAGAGCGACTTACAAATTGGTGCATTCACCTTATATTAACCTTATATTAAGGCCCTGCTGGAGTCATCTTTTCCCTATTACATTTACATTACATTTACGTCATTTAGCAGACGCTCTTATCCAGAGCGACTTACAAATTGGTGCATTCAATTTATGATAGCCAGTGGGACACCCAATTAATTTCCTTCTTTTTTTTTTTTGGGGGGGGGGGGGGGGGGGGGGGGGGGTAGAAGGATTACTTTTATACCAGTACCAGATCAATGTGCAGTGGTACGGGGTATTTGAGGTAGATATGTACATGAAGGCAGGGTAAAGTGACTAGGCATCAGGATAGATAATAATAAGGTATTTGAGGTAGATATGTACATAAAGCCCAGGGTAAAGTTGACTATGGCATCCGGATAGATAATAATAAGGTATTTGAGGTAGATATGTACATGAAGGACAGGGTAAAGTGACTAGGCATCAGGATAGATAAAATAAGGTATTTGAGGTAGATATGTACATGAAGGCAGGGTAAAGTGACTAGGCATCAGATAGATAATAATAAGGTATTTGAGGTAGATATGTACATGAAGGCAGGGTAAAGTACTAGGCCTCAGGATAGATAATAATAAGGTATTTGAGGTAGAGATGTACATGAAGGCAGGGTAAAGTGACTAGGCAACAGGATAGATAATAATAAGGTATTTGAGGTAGATATGTCCATGAAGGCAGGGTAAAGTGACTAGGCATCAGGATAGATAATAATAAGGTATTTGAGGTAGATATGTACATGAAGGCAGGGGTAAAGTGACTAGGCATCAGGATAATATAATAAGGTATTTGAGGTAGATATGTACATGAAGGCAGGGTAAAGTGACTAGGCATCAGGATAGATAATAATAAGGTTATTTGAGGTAGATATGTACATGAAGGCGGGTAAAGTGACTAGGCATCAGGATAGATAATAATAAGGTATTTGAGGTAGATATTTACATGAAGGCAGGGTTAAAGTGACTAGGCATCAGGATAGATAATAATAAGGTA